CATATACATCCTTAAGCTTTTCATTATACTTGGGGCGACTACTGTACCACTTTGCCAAAAATGTATCACTCTTTTTTTTTAAAGAGGTTTTTTTTTTTTAATATATTTTATTGATTTTTTACAGAGAGGAAGGGAGAGAGATAGAGAGTTAGAAACATTGATGAGAGAGAAACACTGATCAGCTGCCTCCTGCACATCTCCTACCAGGGATGTGCCCACAACCCAGGTACATGCCCTTGACCGGAGTCGAACCTGGGACCTTTCAGTCCGCAGGCCGACGCTCTATCCACTGAGCCAAACCGGTTTCGTGTATCACTCTTGAAGGTGTGTGTCTCCGTTTTTCGTCCTCACCCAACCTCCAAGCTGCAGCTGTTGTATATACACTGAACTCTCCCAATGTCGGCACCCCCCTCGGATCTGCCCCTCTCTCCGGTGCCTCCCAAGGGGGTCTGCTTTCACTTCTGTTTTGGAGAGGGGATTTTTGTCAAACTTTTTAAAAAATGTTTTTATTGATTTTTTAGAGAGAGGAAACGAGAGGGAGAGAAATACCGATGTGAGAGAGAAACATGGATCGGTTGCCTCCTGCACACGCTCCAACCGGGCATCGAACTTGCAACCTAGGTATGTGCCCTGACTGAGAATCGAACCCGCAACCTTTTGGTGTGTGGGATGATGCTCCAGCCAACTGAGTCACCGGCCAGGGCCAGTCCGCCCGTCTTACTGCTCTGTCACCACATCCACACGCGCTCATTTGCAACCGAGCCTGCACGTTCCCCTCACGTGTGGATTTGTGTAACCACGACCCCAGTCAAGACACAGAACAGCTGACACCTCCAGGACCCCTGTTTCACAGCCACCCTCATCACGCCCCCACCTCCCCTCCTCAGCCTCATCGGCTCTCCCTCTGTAAGTTTGCCATTTCAGGAATGCTCTGTCAACGGAGCTGTAGAGTAGGCAACCTTTTGAGACTGGCTTTCTCACTCAGCAGAGCTCCCTTTCAATCCATCGTGTGGTTTTTGTGTATCAATAGTTCCTTTTCACTGCTGAGTTGCGGGGCTGGGCCCCCTAGGGGAGGTGCTGCTGTGTCAATGGGCAGGGCAGTGGCTGAGCCATGTGCAGGCCTGCGAAGGAGGTGGAGGCCTGCGGAGGAGGCGGGACCCTCAAGACCTGGCAGCCCACACCCTTTTTCTCCTCTCCCCATCAGTCAGAGCGGCTTCTCTTCCTAATGCTCAGAGCAGGACCGGATCTGGCTGCTTCCTGTTCCTGTCCACCCCGCGAGAAGGAGGCCACTGGCTGCAGAGCTCCCTTGATTGCCTGGTGGCCGGTGGCCCCACCTCCCAATGAACCCTCTAAACCAACTGCAGAGACCTGACTGCCCCATGGATGACTGGCCTCCTGGGGGGCCAGCTCCCACCTCCACCAGAAGGAAGGCCTTGGGCGGTGGCTAGAGGCCCGTCGACCCCCAACTCCACAGCTTCAGCTGGAGCTTGGGGCACCCAGCCTCCATCCCAGGGCTGACGCCCCCTTTCTGCGGACCAGAGCGGCTCCCTCAGCTGGACATTCTGCTCCAGGGAGAAGGGATGTTTCCGGGAAGAATTCATGGCCCAAGTGCTGTTTCTGCGAGGACAGGACTCGGGATAAATCAAGGACGCATCCGTGCTCTCGTTGGCATCTTCGAAATGAAGCAAGCTGCCTTTCTCCAAAATGCAAAGCCCGGCCTCCCTTTGGGGAACCTGGGCCCAGGCCCCCCCGAGCACCTCCCCAGACCCAGGCTTGTACCAGGATGGTCGCAGTCCCCACACACACCGCCCCAGGGGCGCCTGATGTTTAGTCTTGGGCAGATGCACTTAGATCTTACTGCCGTCAAGGCCTTACCCCATAACCCCACATCCCCTGGCACCCCGCCTGGAGGACCATCCCCCTCCATGGGACGGGGGTGCCCCAGCTCCACAACCCACTGAAGCTGCAAGCTCAGACCTTCCTGCCAGGACTCCAGCTGGGCTGATTCCTTTCTGTAACCCTCTCCCATCCTCCTGCCTCCCCACCCCCATGTGGTATTTATTTCAGACCAACCCTCAGAGCAGCACAGAGCCCCTCCAGGGCCCGAGGTGGCTGCCCCGCCAGGAGGTCTCTGGTGCAGCACCAGCAGTGAGTGTCCCATGCCCCTGGCCCCCCGCCCCCGCCCATCTACAAGGGACAATTCACTGGACGAGCCCCGTATTTCACGCACTAGAGGCTGCTGGTATAATAAAAGCTCGTTTCCACGGTCGCCTTGGTGGGGGCCAGCCCCAAAAGCTTGAGGCCCAGTTCCCATCTGGCCCCCAGGCCTCTGTTCCTTCGTCCACAGCCCAACCTTCCAGAGCAGGTTGGGGGGAGGGTGCTGCATACGTGCACCCCAAGATTCCCGCGCATTTGTAAGAAATGACACCAATACAGAGTTCCTAGTACCCCCACCAGAGTCCCCCAGTGGTAACATCTTAGAAAGCTAGTACTTCACACACCAGGCTACTGGTGATCTTACACTTCCCCAGGGGTGTGTGTGTGTGTGTGTGTGTGTGTGTCTGGGCTGCCCCCTCACCAGCTCCTTTTCCCCCAGACCAGAGACATAGGCCCAATGTCAATCCAGGATGACACCCATCCCCTGTGCCTTAGGAGGCTTGCTAACCCCACAGCTGCTGCCTCAGTGGCTGCTGATAACCCAGCCTGCTCTCAGGAGAGAAGGAGAGAGTGGCTGCTGCCTTTCCCGTGTGGCATCCCCCTTCCATTCAGTTCAGAACAGCTGTAAACAGCTGGGAGTGGGGGTCTGAGACTGAAGCTCCTGCACCCAGATGCACAGCGTCCCCCCTTTAGTTCCCCTCCCCCCTGGTCCTGATGGTGGGGAGTTAACATCAAATGAGAAGAGAAAGCAGGAGTCAGGTTAAAGGGAAGAGGTGACATCTTGCAGCCAGGGGACAGCAGGAGACTGAGCCTGAGGCTCCCAGTGATGGGTTGCATGAGGCTTTGGGGAGCAGAGTGGGGGTTTCCACAGTGATTGCTCAGGAGACACCCTGAAACCTGGAGCTGGAAGCTGGGCTTCTGAGAACAAGAACCTCTGACCAGGTTCCCCCTGCCTGGGCCGCCGGGGTGGGAGGGTCTGAACCTTCTCCTGGAGGGGTTCTTGGGTGGGTCTAGGGCACCATCAGCCTGTCTCATCCCCACCTGGACACGGGGGAGCTGGCGGGCCTGGGAATCTGCATTTTGCCCATTTTGGCTTCCTGGGGCTGCTGTAACCAAGTACCACAAACCAGGTGACTTAAAACAACAGACATTTGCCCTAACTGGTTTGGCTCAGTGGATAGAGTGTCGGCCTGCGGACTCAAGGGTCCCAGGTTCGATTCCGGTCAAGGGCATGTACCTTGGTTGCGGGCACAAACCCAGTGGGGAGTGTGCAGGAGGCAGCTGATCGGTGTTTCTCTCTCATCGATGTTTCTAACTCTCTGTCCCTCTCCTTTCCTCTCTGTAAAAAATCAATAAAATATATTTAAAAACAAACAAACAAACAAACAAAAAAAAACAACAGACATTTATTGTCTCAATCCTGGAGGCCAGAAGTCTAATATCAGGTTGTGGGCAAGGCTGGGTCCTCTGGAGGGCCTGAGGGAGAATCCCTCCCAGGCTGCTCTCCCGGGTTCAGTGGCTGCCAGCAACCCTTGTGCTTAGCTTGTGGCCACAGTCTCTGACTCTATGGTCACACAGCCTTCTTCCCTGTGTTTCTGTGTCTTCTTAGAAGGACACTAGTGGCCCGGTGCATGGATTTGTGCACATTAAAGGGAAATTAATTAGAAGAAATATTTTTAATATCGCTATTTGCCCTTTCTGTATAATAGAAGTGTCAACCAAATTCACAATTGACAATGACAGATCGAAACACATGTGTGCAATTGGCGCCAGCGAGAGCTTTATATCTATCGTGCATATGCGAGTTAACTTAGCCTTTTCCTGTATAATAAAAGGGTAATATGCAAATTGACCCTAACAGCAGAATGACAAGGAACAACTGGTTGCTATGACGTGCACTGACCACCAGGGGCCAGACGCTCAACGCAGGAGCTGCCCCCTGGTGGTCAGTGCGCTTCCACAGGGGGAGTGCCGCTCAGCCAGAAGCCGGCTCATGGCTGGCCAGCACAGCGGGGATGATGGGAACCAGCGGGCCTAAGCCATTAGTTGGACATCCCCCGAGGGCTCCCGGGCTGCCAGAGGGATGTCTGACTGCCAGCTTAGGCCTGATCCCCCCCGGGGAGCAGGCCTAAGCCAGCAGGTGGACATCCCCTGAGAGGTCCTGGACGGCCAGAGGGCGTAGGCCAGGCTGAAGAACCCCCCCCCCCCACCACCACCGAGTGCAGCAACCCAGCAGTAAATATCAACATGAAGCAGATTATTATTGTAGATCACGCAGGGAAAACGAAGGGTAAAATATTTAACTGCAGCAGTGTTTGACTATATTCTGCGCAGTGAGAAAACCTGAACTCATTTTCAAGGCCCACCATTTCTTCTTTTCAGTTTCTAAGCTTTCTAAATCTCCATTTTCCGGCTAATGAAAAGAAAATAGGATTCCACCAAGTCTCCTCTCTACCTACTCCAGGACTTCTGTGAGGATCAAATGAGATGAGGCATGGGAAAACGCTTCACAGACATTTGGTTTCAGTGTAAAATGATTCCACCTGGCTATCAAGCAAGTCATGTTCCTGGGCTGAAGAAACTGCAGGAGGCTAGCTGCTAGGGAGAGAAGCCGGGTGTTGCTATGTGACCTCATTACCTGGCACCCACGGTAATGTTTCCGGGCTGGGCTGGGCTGTGGGCTGCATTTTGTGCCATGGGGTCCCGGCAGCAGCGGCTGCTATTTGGTGGGGTGTCGCTCCGGGTGGTGGCAGGGCCTGTGTCCCACTTGGGGGAAGCCGAGTGTTGCTTTGTGGGCACCAGGTCCGTGGTGCTGTTTCTCTGTGTGCCTCACGGCAGCTCCTGCATTGAGCATCTGCCCCCTGGTGGTCAGTGTGCGTCGGATGGTCGGACACTTTTATATATATAGATTAGTCATGACAGGTTTAGGGCTGATCCTACACCAATGTGACCTCATCTTAACTAATTACCCCTGCACAGACCCTATTTCCAAACAAGCTCATTAGAGGTTCCTGAGGGACATGAATTTGGCGGGAGGCCCATTCAACCCAGTCCAACCCCTCTTTGTTGCTCTGCCTCCTGAGGGGCTGTCAGACGAGCGATGAGGACCTGGTGCCCGTCCCCGGGTTGCCCCTCTCCTTGGAGACCGTGGTGGAACTTGGCAACCAGCGGAGCAACCCTTCCCGCACCTTGTCCCTGAATTCGGTCGACACGTAATAGTAGATGAAGGGGTCCACACAGCTGTTGAGAGTGCTGAGTGCCAGGCTGGGCACGTAGGCAGCGTACAGGTTCCCCCAGGTCTCTGAGCCTGGGTCCGAGTAGTGCAGCAGCAGCAGCACATTGCTGGGCGCAAAGAAGGCCAGGGCCGAGGCCAGCACCAGCGCAATCAGCCTTAGCGCGTGGCTGTAGCGCTGGCCTCCAGCGGCCAGTGCACACAGGGTAGCCCCGTAGCAGAGCAGCATGGCCAGCAGGGGCAGGAGGCAGCCAAACACGGCCAGGCAGACGAAGGTGGGTCGCCAGTAGGAGTCCTGGGTACCTATGGGATGTGCATCGTGGCACAGCACATGATCCGATTGTGACACCTGGTAGGTCTGCCGCTGCAGCCCCAGGGGCAGCACCAAGGTAGCCGCCACTAGCCAGGCCAAGGCGCAAAGCCCAGTGGCCAGGCGCTGGCCTCGCAGGGCGCGGGCCCGCAGTGGATGTACCACGGCCAGGTAGCGGTCCAGGCTGATGGCAGCCAGCAGTAGCACAGAACAGTACATATGGCCATAGAGTGCGGCTATGTCCAGGCGGCAGGCAGCCTCACCAAAGGGCCAGCGCTGGCCCCGAAGATGGTAGACAATGCGGGGTGGCAAGGTCAGGGCCAGCAGCAGGTCGGCAGCTGCCAGGTTCATGAGCAGCACCGTGGATGGCAGCCGAGGCACTCGCGTGGCCAGCACCCACAGTGCCAGGCCGTTGGCAGGCAGTCCCACCACCAGGACCAGCCCATAGAGAGCGGGCACCATCCTTGTGGGCACCCAGCCCAGCAGCAGCGCCCGTGAACTTTCCGAAAGCTCCAGAGTGTAGCTGCGGTTGGCACAGGGCCTGCCCGGGAAGGTGCGAGTTATGCAAATTGTTGCCCCCTGGGGTTTGGTCCAAGGTTCCAACTGGCCATCTGGGGGAGGGAACGGGGATGGAGGCGTCATCTCCTGCCTTTCAACCAGCCCTCCTGCTGGATGGTCCCCCCACAGGGGCTACAACCCAGGCCCCAGCTCACAGGAGCCCCCCCAGGTTGGTGGGACAGAGTTGGACATGGAAACCCTTTCCCCGTGGGCTCAGGGCTGAGCTGGAGGGACCCCCAGTCCTGTGTCCTTCTGCCCATCTATCATGCTCCCCCAGTCCCAAGGCAGCACCTGGAGTCACTCACCATCTCCTTCCCCTGTGCTCCAGCCTTCATCATAGACACTGGGGGTTGGGGTTCCACTCTCCAGGCTGAATCCCAGGGCCAGGGGCCCTAGCAGCAGGAGCGCCCACATGCTATCGGGGCCGGGCGCCGGCTGCTCTGGGCTTCAGCCAACTGGCCTTGGGCTTCCTATCTGCTGGACCCCCACCTCCTGCTTCCTGAGTGGAGGCGGGGGAGCGGACAGGGCCAGTGAGATAAACCAGCCCCTGCCCCCAGCCAGCCTGTGGGAGGCCCACGGATGACCTAAGTGGCCTGGTGGCTGGGGCCACTTTGTCTGGCAGCGGTGCCTCACGGGGTACAAGTGCTGGGCCAGTGAGATGGGGAGGAAGTCTCAGGCTGCAGCAGCCCCACCACCCCCTGTCCAGACCAGGAAGCCTGTGTGGGCTAAGTGGCCACTTCCTGCTGGCCAGTCACAGTTGCCGTTCTCATAGCCGCCCAGTCCTCCAGGTCACGTCCTCCATCAGGAGCTGTTGGCCCTTCCTGAAACCTCGTTTCTCTCTGGTGGGCAAGACTAGAGTCCTGCCTTTCAGGTCATAGGTCAGAGCAGGTGAACCCCCTGTCCCCCCACATGTGCCCAAGCCCCCAGGCCTCTATAAGGTCTGCCCTGCCTTCTCGCCTCCTCACCCATTACCCAGCGCATGCGCAAAGTGAGGCGCCCGAGAGGGGAAGGCGCCTTGTGAGTTGGGTCTGCTGGGGAGAGCGGAGGAGGCGTGAGCCCTGTTGTCGGGTTGCCCCGAGTGTCGAGTGTCGAGGGGAGCCTGGCGCAGCCACCTCTGGGCGGTGTCTGTCCTGAGTGTCGAGTGTCGAGGGGAGCCTGGCGCAGCCACCTCTGGGCGGTGTCTGTCCTGAGTTCTCGAAGCGTCTTTTGCTCCTGCCCTGGCCCTACCCCAGCCTGACTGGGAGGGATGGTCACACACATCCACATCTGAGGCCAAGGGAGGCAGCAGGCCAGCCCAGGTCCGGACACCGGAGCCATCTCCCAGGGGCCCTCCTTCCTCTGGCCCCCCATGTTCCTGTATTCTGATGGGGGCCACTGTGCAGATGAAGAAACTGAGGCTCAGAGGGAGGGCATTCCTCTCTCCTGCACGCAAACCCCCACCCCCACTCCCCTCCAGGGCCTAGAGAAGCCTCCAACAGTCCAGCCAGGAACTCGGGGGCCTCGGTTCTGCGTGGTCAGGTCTGGGCCATGGGCCTGTGTCTGGGAGCAGGAGGACCCCAAGGGGCAGTGGGGGTAGTAGAGGGGGTCAATGTGGTGTCTTGGCACAGCCACCCTAATCTCGTCACTCTCAGGGACACAGAGACCAGCAGGAAGTGACTGAGCAGTTTGGACATGGCCAGAGGCCGGGATGCTGAGTCCCTGCCCCCAGCCCCGGGGTGAGGGGGACTGGGGCCTAGAGCACTCCCGCTGGGCCAGGGCCTCAGCCAGGAGCTCTCCCATTCGGAGTGGTTTCCACCAGTAACAGATTCAGCCCATGCCTAGTCTCTGGATGATGCAGAATGGATGATGCCTTCAGCACAGGAAAGCCAGGATGGGGACCCCTGCCCTCCTCCAGGGAACGTGTGCAGCAGATGCTGGGGACGGGACACCGGGCCAGGGCAGACTGGGAGCCCCCAGGAGGGTGGTCTGACTCAGGGGTTGCGTGTCTTGGAATTTATGGCAGACACATGTGTGCAGGAAGGTATCTGTACAGGGGCTATTACCAGCAAGGCAGGGCAGGGGTGGGTGCGGGGGGAGGGGCTGCCCATTGACGGCCCCTCCCCCCCACCATGGAGACAACCGTGTGCCAGCAGAACGAAGGGACCCGACAGGGAGGTGCCGGCTGCTGTCCTGTCCCAACTGGGTGACAAGTGGTGCAGAGGTGTCTGCCCTCCACCTGCAATCAGGAAGCTGGGGGTGGGGGTCCAGCAGAAGGAAGCCCAAGGCCAGTTGGCTGAAGCCCAGAGCAGCCGGCGCCCGGCCTGATCACATGTGGGCGCTCCTGCTGCTGTGGCCCCTGGTCCTGGGACTCAGCCTTGAGGGTGGCACCCCGCCCCCCGTGTCCTGACGGCTGGAGCACAGGGGGAGGAGATGGTGAGTGACTGGGGCAGCTGCCTTTGGGGAGAGGGACTTGGGCCCCGACTCCTTCGTGTTTTTCTTTGTACTATTGGAATTTTCTGTACATGTGTCACTTTCCATAAAAACTTATGTTTTTAAAAAAGCAGAAAGGTAGCTTCAAAAAGGAAGGGAATTCTGACACATGCTACATGGATACACGCTGAGGACACTATAAGCCAGACACAAAAGGACATACTGTATGATTCCACTTACACGGTTCCTAGTCAGATCCAGAGACAGCAAGTAGAATGGTGGGTGCCATGAATCCAAGCTAGTAGAGCCTCCTTCTCCAAGTTGCCTGCTACCCCTGACATTCTGGAGGAGGAGGTGGGGACCATGAGGGGCCCCACATGGGTGGAGGGGCCCCTGGGAGGCAGAAACAGCCACTCAGGGAGGTGGGCAACTTCTGGGAGAGGACTAGCCAGGTGGGCAGGGCAGTGCCAACTGAGCTCAGGAACCTGGTGGTAGGTACTGGGCATGGCTGAGGGGAGGCAGGTACATGGCACAGCCAGTTCCTCTGCGGCAGTGCAAGAGGTGGCAGCTGAAAGGCCCCTGAGCAGAGGTATGGGCTCCCCTGATCCTTGGAGGGTGGGAGGGGGTCCTAGAGATGTTCAGAGGACAGTGATGGGAAAGAAGCAAGAGGTGGAAGGGTGTGGCCCCAGAGGTAGAGTATGGAGGGTGGTTTTGTGGGGCTGGGGAAGCAAAGTCCTCCCCCCCTCCCCCCATGTCCCATCCACCTCCCATGAGCCTCAGGACTTGGCATCAGACGCACAAGGCAGAGAAAACTCCGAGCAGACACCGGGTGTTGTAATTGGTTTTTGCATGCACAACATTAGAAGGAAACACTTCACATTTCTACTGAACATAACAACTGAACTGGAATGTTCTAGAAAATGCTCTGGTATGAGGACGGAGAACCACCCGCAGGAAACGTAACTGGGAGGTCTGGGGACCACTGTGCACAGGTGCAGACCCTCTCTGTGGGTCTCGCTGCCTGAATTCACTGGGTGGGAAAAGCCGCCCTGGGATTCACTAACAGGAAATAACGGATAGAAGCTCACAGCTTCAGATCAATATTTAATTGTTCACTTTAATGTGCAAATAAATAGAAAAGGAAACTACATTCAAAACAGCTGCAAAAGAAGTTCAAGCCCCAGGAGAGAAATTCTTCAAAAATGAGAGAGCTCCTTAGAAGCATGCAGGGTAGGGGATCAGGGGTTTGGCAAACACCCCAGGCCCCCGCTGAGGCACAGAGGGGCTGCCTCACGGGGCTGGTGCAGGAGTTCTGGTAAGTTCCCTTCTTACAAAACAAGGGTTCAAAGTGCCTGGGTTACACTTGAGGAAACAGGGCAGGGAGACCCCAGGAGGGAGAAGTAAGCCTTGGCCCACCGTCAGAGGCGTCACAAACCTTGAGTTCCACAGGCAACTTCTAGACGCACGCCTCCACTGGCGGGAACCGTGGGCTTGGCACAGCTCAGCAGGAGGGCGAGGGCTGCGGTGGCAGAGGCTGCACGGGGACCGCTTCGGGCCCACCTGTCAGGGATCCCGCTCGGTATGATGTTGCCAGGGCTGCCCGGGCTTCTCGTGTGCAGTGAGTTTGAAGGAGCTCGTCCGCAGCCCGAACTGCCTGGCAATCTTGGCCCAGAAAGCCGTGGACGCCTCCACGGAACAGTCGCCCCAGCCCCTCACACACACGCCAGGTGGCAGCTGCAGGACAGCGGTGTCGGGTGGGAATGCAGAGGCTCTCACTCCCTACAAGCCTTGGGACGTGGTTGTTGGAAAAGTTGCCAACAGAGAGCGTAAAGGAATAAATAAGTGTGTGCACCTGTCATTCTAGTGTCCATCTTGGTACACGATCCGCCCTGGAGCCCTCCCACATGGGCCACTCGCTGGGTGGGTGTGGGGCCGAGCCCTGTCCCCCACAGACCCAGAGTCCGGCTGCTGGATCAATGCAGGGTTTGGCGGTCCTTTTTCCAGAGTGGGGTCTTCTGGGCCATTCTGATGCTCCTGCCCACACCACACCTCACAGTTTGGCTAAAAGGGCTCTTCCTGCTTATAAAATAACGAGGCTCTGAGCACTGGTGCTTGGCCAAGCTGATGCCCACACTGTCAGATCTGGGCATTGCCCAACTCCTTTTATGCTGGGAGCCCTTCCCAAACGTGTGCCCTCACATGGCTTGTCACTGACTTTCCCAGATGCCCTGTGCACAAAACGACCAGCGCAGCCCTGCCCAGAGATTTGGCACAGGTGGTGTAAGTGCCTGGCAGGTGTGTGAACTGAGCCCCAAGTTCAAGTGCAGGGGGTTCAGGCTTGGCACAGGACTGGCCCAAAGGAGGCTGGGGAGCTGAGAGTGATGGCAGCGTGGGGCCGCAAGCTGACACAACCTTCTCTGGAGGGGCAGCCTGTAGCAGCAAGGCTGGGGGACGCTCTCCTTCCCTCGGGTGGTTCAGGAAAATGGTCTCGACGGACACCCAGGCCTGAGGAAGCAACCACACCAAACTGTGTGTAGTGATGGCTGCTCAGGTGCATCAGGGGGAGGCAGGGCGGCGGCTGTACTGCACGCGGTAGCGGGTCACAGGCAGGCCATGCACATGGGCCGTCTCGCAGAGTGTCTTGCAGGGCACCATGTCCTCATCCTCTTCGCCCATCAGCCAGTCCTGCACCAGGCCAGCTGCCTCCACGGTCACGTTGTCCTCCAGCCAGCGGCCATGCCATTCCTCAAAGTGCTGGTGGTGCCGCAGCAGGACCAGGGGCTGGACCTGCAGGGGGTGGGTGGGGTGGAGTCAAGAGACCGGGCGCCCCTAGCTGGGCACTGATACATGGCTGTGGGCTTGACCCCGGGTCCCAGGGCAGAGTGGGAGGCGTACCTGTTTGGCTCGGCAAAGGGTCCCCCGGCGGTACATGTAGTCCTCGGAGTTGACAATGAACATCATCTTGTGGGAGCTGAGCTTGAAGCGGCAGTCCACGTTGCAGGCGCTTTCTACCCCCACCAGCCGCTTCCAGGAGCTCTTGGCCTCACCACGCAGGGCCCGCACCTGCTCGCACTGCCACCTGCGGAATTTCTTGAGGTTCCTGAGGGTCACAGGAGGTTTGCAGATCAGGAAATCCTTGGCTGGGTTTCCCAAAGGTAAGGAGATGCAAACAGAAGCAAAAACCCGCTACCCAACCCTCCAATCCAGAGAAACCAACTCTAGTCACACAGGGGTGCTAGTAACCCTGGGAGGGGCTGCCTGGCCAGCCCTGTTGGCTCCTCTCGCTTGCTTCCTATGTACCTCCAACAGGGAGCCCCTCACCCAGGACCCCCTTCCACCCTCCCAGACCTGGTCCCATCTCCCTATCAGTGGGCCTGGGACCCCACCCCCAGGCTAGCCCCCACCTGGCAATGGGTCCTCACTCAAATCTAAACACCAACCAACAATCCCTACTGATCTTGGCCTGAGGGGAGATCTGGCTCTGCCTGGCCCAGGTCCAGGGTCTAATGGTGCTGGCACTCCCGTCTCTGGCCCGATGGCTGCCATTTCCAGGAGCTTCTCCCTCCAGGGCCTCACCCCCTCCTCCCAGCCCCTCTGCTCCCTTAGGCAGGGCAGCCCCCTCATCCCGGGATGGCTGCACGACTGCTCTGCTCACCCCAGACCTCAGGAGGGCACAGCCACACCTTGTTCACATCAGGTGCCCAATTAGTGTTTCCAGACGAAGGAAACTGTCTTTAGCCTCAATTAAAGACACAGGGTTTCCTTGTGGCTCCTCTCACCTCTGCAGGAACACGGGCTTCAGGAGGAAGCCCTCGGTGGGGGAGCTGGACGCACCCTCGGTCCCCACGTACTGCTCCATGTACCGAGCCAGGTGCTGGGGAACAGGAGGAGACATGGCCATGACTTCCTGCGTAAGGGCTCCTCAGCCAGGACCCTGAGCTCAGGGCTCTTGGGGATGTGTTAGGGATGGTGGCTGTTGAAGACCCTGATGTGTGACTGAAACCAGACTGCAGGTGGGCGGGACGTGCACACCAGCTACAATGAGACACTTGACGGCATTCTGTGCTGAAGTGGAGAGGTCCCTGCTGTGTAACAGCCTATTCAAGTTCACACGGGGAACGGGGACCCCCTCATGGAGGAATGCAAGGTCCAGAATGGACATCGGGCACGAGCAGCAGTAGAAAGAGGGAAAGACCAGGTCATGGGTGGGAGTGAACAGGCGGTGGGGCTGGGAGGGGCCACCAGGTGCAGTAGGGCATGGTGGTGTCCAGTGACCATCTGCTCACCACCCTGTTAAAGCCAGAGGCTCCTCCAGTCATGAGCTTAATAAAACCGCATTTGCTGGCAACTTCCGGAAGGTGCAAGGTATGCAGGCCTCCACCCTCACTGGTCATGGAGCTTCCTGTGTGGGGGAGTCCTGAGGTAGGCAGGGAGGATGCTGGGAGGGGAGCCCCTGCAGCTGTGGTGAGTGCCCCAGCTCTGGGAAGGAGGCTTGGGCTTACCGGCCCGGTGTGAGGGCGCCGAGTGTCACTGCACCTCCCCATTTCTCCAAAGCTCCTGAGCGGACATGATGGTCCAGAGCTCCTGGTCCACAGATCTTGGCTGTTTGACTCAAGGTCAAAAAGGCAGCGACACCTTTTTGAAATATGATTCCTTTCGATGTCCTTATTTGGTTACGTACTGCTTGACTCCAGAAAAGGTCTGACACAGCTACGTGTCGGGACCAATCGCTGTGGTTCGTCTGAGAACAAGCAATTCTTGGAATGTGGAACCTTTGGCGATAAAACCAGGAATGTCCCAGGTAAACTGGGACAAGCTGTTCACTATTGTGGGTTGAATTGTGTCCCCAAAAGAGACATGTCTGAGCCCTAGCCCCTGGCACCTGTTCCTGTGACCTCATTTGGAAACAGAGTAATCACGGTGAGGTCACACTGGAGTAAGGTGGGCCCTAAACCCAATGCCTGGTGTCCTTGTAAGAGCAGAAAACCAACACGGGAAATGTCTCGTCTAGTGGAATGTGTGACTCAGAGCGTGGCCAGGCGGATGTTCTCCTGGTGACTAAGGCTCGGGACCCGGAGCCCTGAGCTTTATACACAGAGTGCAGAGGTCACACGGCTCAGGTGACCATGCCGGCCGCAGGCTCAATTGAGATGGCTGTGTCGACAGCAGGTGGGAGGAATCAGGACCCAGGGTCCTGCCCTGGGACACACCCTGGACTCCTGAGGGGTTGTCTGCAACTTGGGCCCTCCCTCGGCTGCCATGGAGGGCATGTGGCCTGTGCTTGTGCATGTGGCCCTTGGGGTGGGACCTGCACGATGCTGACTATGGCTTCCCCTGGCCCATAGTGTGCACAGGGCCGTCGCCCTCACCTGGACCTCCACGGGGTCCTCCGACTGGGCTTCCTCGGTGTCCAGGAGCTCAATGGTCATAATCACCTGCCCTTTGCGCTGAAGGAACATCACCTGGGGAAGGTGGGGGACAATGCTGAAGCCACAGAACAGTCCAAGCTGACACAGGATGAGGTCAAAAGCTCATCAATTAACCACCTTTGCCAGCCTCTGGGCCTAGACCAGGGGTGGGTAAACTTTTTGACTCGAGGGCCACAATGGGTTCCTAAACTGGACCGGAGGGCTGAAACAAAAGCATGGATGGAGTGTTTGTGTGAACTAATATAAATTCAAAGTAAACATCATTACATAAAAGGGTACGGTCTTTTTTTTTTTTTAGTTTTATTCATTTCAAACGGGCCGAATCCGGCCCGCGGGCCATAGTCTGCCCACAGCTGGCCTAGACCCTTCCTCCTGGGATCATGTGCTGGGTACCCACCTCACGGGCCCTGTGGTGCCCCGAGGCCAGGACGGACATCCAGAGGCCCAGTCAAGGAAGCACATGTAATCGGACCGGCTGAAAAAGCCACGTTCAGTCCAATCCCGCCCCCAGGCCAGAACACAATGGCGGCCCCTCCTGTTTGGGGCATTCCCCTTGCTCCCCTAGCCTCATGTGGGACTGAGCATGGCTGGTCTCTCACCTTGAAGCAGTTCTCATCAGCCATGCACCGCTCAGCCTTCCACTGGTAGCTAGTCTCCCTAGCGGCGCGGACGCAGCGGGAGGACAGGTTCCCACCAGCGGCGCCCCGCTTCTTCTCGTTCAGGTAGAGCTCCACCACCTTCAGGCAGATGTCGTCACTCACGAGGTGGTGCAGCTGGTGGGGAGGAAAGCTGGTGGGTGCCTGGAGCGTGTGCCCCTCAGAAGGGGCGAGCAGTTTCTGAGCATGCCGCCTGCTGGAGTCCCCACCTCACCCAAAGACAACATGGTGAAGTCCATGAAATGGGGATGAAGGCCAGGATCAGATGGGCCATGCAGAGCGAGTACCTCGGCACAGGGTGCAGAGCAGACCAGAGCAGAAAAACTAGCCCAGATCAGACTAGAACAGACAAGAGCAGACCAGTCCAGAGCCAAGCAGACCAGTTCAAACTAGACCAGACCAGCAAACCCTGCTTGGGTTTGAGAAACAGATGAATAAATGCAAAAGAAAATGTTCCAAAATGGGGATCGTAATTATCTGAAAGTGGTGGGATGGAGGAAGGTTATTTTCCCTAAATTTTCAGCAATAAACACAATGAATGCCTTTAATTCCTACAAACAACTAAAACCGTAAGGTTTAAGAAGAAATGAATACGGAGATGGCGGAGGCACAGGGTCGGATGGAGCTGGTGAGTCAGCCCTGCCACCACTGGCTGCAGCAGGGCCTAGGGTTCGGCCCCAAGTACCAGGGATCTCACATGGTGCCTGGCACACAGCAAGTTCCCCAAGTAGTGGCTGCTGTTACTGAAAACAAGAAATGCTAGTAATAATGGAAAAAGGGCAAAGGGTGTGGATATGTTCCCTCTAAGGTAAGTTACAGGTGTGAGCATGGGAGAGCCCTGTGAGCATATCTGGCTCAGGGCACGTCCAGTGGGGTTTGATGAAGCCACAGCTCAGGGGGTGAAGTGCTTGCCCAGGGTGTCCCCGAGCCACTGTCTCCTGGAGCTGTGTGCAAGGGCCCATGCGTGCTTCCCCATCCAAATGGCCACAGAGGGAGGAAAAGGTGGCACCTTAGGAGCCACCAGGGAAATGCAATGTAAAACACGAGATCCCGCTGCCCCTCAGCCCAGGAGTGGCGAGAGACCGCCAATCCCAGCTCTGGTGGTCAAGAAAACCTGTCCTTCTATCCGGACAGAGTACCCACTGGAAAACCAAAAGCTTCCACGGCAGCCGGCGGGCTTGCCTCCACCCCACCCAGGGGAGTGGAGGAAACTCGCAGATGTCCACCAGGAGACAAGCAGTGTGGCTCCAAGGGCCCAGAGGGGAGTTTTTTCCCTGGAGCAGGCCAGGATGAAGGAGCCACAACTGCAAGAAGGAATGCTGCAGAATCACACTGCCTGATGCCCGATGGGTGGTCTACTTCCATTTAAACACGGCTCAGGACAGGAACTCTACCTCAGCTTCAGCAATCAGGGCAGAGGGTGCCCATGGTGAGGAGTAGCTGGGAGGGCTATGGGTGAGGGCATCCACATGTGAAGACCCACTGGGCCACCCACCTAGGATGTGGGCACTTTCCTGTGTGTTCTACTTCAATGAGAAGTTTTTCTAACCTAGAAGAAAATGACGTTTCTAGAATGTTCCCAATGACTGTATCTGGGTGGGAGAGGAATAACATTATTTTACTGGCTTCTCTTCCACTTTAAGTGAACAGCCTTAGTTGGTAATCAGGAAACAAAAGTCAAGCTGAAGAACACCACCAGGAGGACACATGTCCCAGGGCCACACCGACCTGTCTGGGCTTTGTTGTTTGTATTTTATGACTCATTTCCTCTCCTTGACATTTGGCTATTGCCAGTGTTTTGCTACTATAAATGATACTGAGTGCTGAGGAACGTCACTGATATCCACCCCACACCCCTAGAAGGGGACCAAAATTCTTTACACACTGCCAAGTCACCCTCACAAAAGGTTTGTTAGCAGGGACTCAAATTCTTGCTCACAGCAGCATTATCCACAATTGCCAAAAGGTGGCAGCAACGCAGGTGCCCATCCATGGATGAATGAATGAACACAATGTGGTCCATTCTACAATGGAATATTACTCAGCCGTAAAGAGGAATGAAGCACTGACATGAGACAATGTGGATGAATCTTGAAAACATCATGCCAAGTAAGAGAGTCAGACCACATACTGTATGGTTCCATGTATATGAAACGTCCAGAACGGGTAAACACACAGACAGAAAGCAGGTTGGTGGTAGTCAGGAGGAGCTGGCGAAGGGGAATGGAGAATGACTGCTAATGGGGACAGGGTCTCTTTTTGGGGTGAGAGAAATGTCCTGGAACTAGATAGAGGTGAAGATTATATACACTATGAATGTACTAAATGCTATTGAATTATTCACTTTAAAATGGTTAACGTGCCCTGATGGTGTGGCTCAGCGATTGAGCGTCGACCATGAACTGAGAGGTCACTGGCTCAATTTCCAATCAGAGCACATGCCCAGGTTTTGGGCTTGACCACCAGTGGGGGAAGTGCAGGAAGCAATCGATCAATGATTCTCATTGATGTTTCTATCTCTCTATCCCCGTCCCTTCCTCTCTAAAATCAATAAAAAAATCCTATATAATAAAAGCCTAATATGCTAAGTGTCTGGTCATCCATTCAACCAATCGAAGCATAATATGCTAATGATATGCTAAGACCACTCAACCGCTCGCTATGATGTGCAGGGAGCAGACAGTTGACTGGTAGATCAGTCTCTATGACCGGTAGGTTAGCTTGCTGCTGAGCTCGATGGGAAGGACACACCCTGGAGCCCTCCCACTGTCCCTTCCTAGCAGGCCAACCTTCCACCTCCCTCCCCGGCCCCTATCGTGCACCGGTGGGGTCCCTTGGCCTGGCCTGCACCCTCTTGCAATCTGGAACCCCTTGGGGGATGTCAGAGAGCTGGTTTCTCCCGATCCTGCAGGCCAGGCTGAAGGACCCCACTGGTGCATGAATTTGTGCACTGGGCCTCTAGTAAGTAAAATAAAATAAAATTGTTATTAACATTATGTTATGTGAATTCTACCTTGGTTAAAAAAAAGGAAAGATGCTGGTATGGGACCAACCACACAGCATGAGAGTGATAGAAGGACAGGTTTTCAAAGCTGGGGACTGGCAAGGAATCTTGAGGAGGTGCTGTCGCCCCATGTGTCAGGCCTCCTGTCACCCTGCTCGCTACCCATCCTGCACCCGCTCACCTGGCGCGCGATGCTCTGCACCAGCTTGTCCATGGTGAAGCCGACGTAGGCGTGGATGGTGAACATCTCGCGCAGCGTGTCCTCGTACTGCGTGGGGTCGATGCTGCCGTCCAGCAGGCTGCGCACCATGTCCAGGAAGGCCGGGTAGTACTCCTCCAGCTCCACCTCACCTAAGGGTGGGCGGGGACAGGTCACACAGGGCTGTAACCACAAGACCCCACAGGGCGAATCCAGAATCCCCATAGAATCAAGCAGCCCACGGTCCACCTCCCACCATGGGCTTCTTCATAGTGGCCCGACTCCAAGATGGGAGCTTGACTGGCAATAGTTGCAGGAGGCCCAGCTAGGGAGGTAGGCAAGAAGCGCTGTGTGGCCTAGCAATGCCCGTTTCCTGCTCCTACCATGGTACCACAGCCAGAAGCGGTGCTACTGCTTGGGGAGGCTAGGAAGGGTTTTCGAGACTCTACTATTTTTGTGACTTCTCATTTGAGATAGTGTATTTCAAAATGAAAAGCCAGGAAAAAACACAAGGGGACATGTCCGATCATAAGCTGTGAACTGAAACCCTTGGTGCCACTGCCCATCTCCCAGCGCCTGCATGTCATCCGTGGGCTCTGACAAGGGTCGGGGACTTACTGGGCTGCTTCAGCCGCAGCTCCATGGCGGGGTCACTGCCCTTCTCCCGACGGCCCTCGCAGAGCAGCTTCTCCCTCTCCTTCTCCGTCCGATACTCCAGGAGCTGCTTCTGAGCCTGGCGGTAGATCTTCAGGAGCCGGGAGCACAGGGTCTGGTGGAGACGCAGGAAGAAGTACCAGTTGTTGTTGGCGAAGAAGAGGCTGTAGACGTCATCCATGGGCTTGTGTGGTGGTGGTGGTAAAGGCGGTGGCGGTGGCGGTGGCGGTGGTGGCTGTTGCTCAGGGGTGGTGCCCTCGCCGGTGGGCCCCTTCTCCACCGGGGGGCTGCTCTGTGGCCCAGGCGCCGGCTTCTTCCGGTCACCAGGTTCCACACTCTGCCCCTGGGGGCTCCCCCGGCCCTCGTCAGCAGAGTCCTCAGATGCCCCTAGGTCCAGGTGCTGGGAGAAGAAGAGGCTGGGCACAAACTGGTGCACCAGCTGGTGGATGGTGCCCTGGTCCTCCTTCTGGATGGCTGGCTGCCGCTTCACGTAGTAGCTGATGAGTGCGGCTGCATCCTCCAGGATCTGCTTGTCCTCATACACGAAGATAAGGTGTGGTTCGCTGGAGGGGGCGCTGCGGCCCTCTGAGTGCTGCTCCTGGTGCTGGGAACAGGGTGAACGTCAGGCAGGAAGCAACCCACTGGGAGAACCCAAGATTTGCACCCTCAGCTTTAACAGTGTCACACTGCTCAGCGCCAGGACCAGGGCCAACCTCCCTCCCTCCACCATTGCCTGCAGCAGTGCCTAGGGGCCAGGGGATCTGAGGGGAGCAGTGCGCTGGTCACCAAATTCCAGCTGACCCGAGGTGCCCAATCCAAGCTCTCCATGGGCGTGAGGAAGGCTGAAGGTGGACCCTGGGTCTCTCTGCCCACCATCATTCATTCATGGATGCTCGGCTAGACCAGGACGACCTGGGACTACTTACATGTCAGCCTCTTCTCCCTCAGCCTTTCACACCTGGCCCATACCCTGCCTCTGCCCCCCTCCCACCCACCACCAGTCCCTCCACAGTTCTCCTATCACCCTGCTGCGCAGGCCTCCTACCTGCTCACTCCAACCACTCTGCTCACCGAGTTGAGAGCAATATGGCGACAGGAGCACAGCCAACTCTACCACCCCCACCAGGCCCTCCCACACTGGTCAGCAGAGGACTCCAGCCCCTGGCCTGCAGGCCTGCAGAGCACACATGCTCCTCCTCTGAGGCTTCCGGCGTGCAGGACCTTTGCATGAGCCTGTTGACTCTTTCTCCCTGGAGAACCACGTCCCTGGGTTCACCCCTCTCCTGTCTTTAGCTAATCATCTTTCTTCCAGAAAACCTAGACAATGACTACATCCTCCAGACTGCCTGAGCACGTGGGGGACGGGGGACGTCCAGGCTCTTGGAAAACCGAGTGTGGATGCCATCCCTGTAGGTGGGACCTCCTGAGGGCAGGGCAGGGGGAGGGAGGAGGCAAAGGCTGTTCCTCAAACAGAACTAGTGACTGGCAGGAAATGGAGATGGGGCCTCCCACTCTGTGCCCTGGTCCTCATCAGCTAAATACCCCTTTCCCCTCTGCCCCCAAGGGAAGAGCCAGGAACTCAGTGGTCAGTGGTGGGTCTATTGGGCTACATCATCACCCCCAAGTTGACAATGTACCGCAGACCCCATTGGTGGGGAGAGGTCGCAGGCTTCGAGGTCCTTCCTCAAGTGAGGAGGTCAGACAAGCTGAAGAGTAGGGCCTGGGGCTAGGGGCTGGGCCCTGCAGGGGGGAGGGTGCCCCAGGGGGAGGGAGGTTGAAGGGCAGGGTCTTAGGGCCGCAGCCCTGGGTGGTCTCCAGTTATGTGGAGACACCCCCAGTGGCCTGGCTTTTCTGTCCTTAATTTCCATACTAGGAGAGGAGGTACGACGCTTGCTGCTTATGTGAAGAATAAAAGGGAATAAGTGAGCCTGCCCAGGCAAGTGCTCAGCCATCGATGCTGCTCTGTCCCTGTCTCCTGGGCACAGCCTGAGAGCAGTACCCGCAACCTCCCTGACTGCCCCCCCAGGGCCTCCACCTCCGTGCCAGGCCACTTCTTACATGTATTTTTCAAAGTTCCACATTCTCAGAGCCTGAGAACCCAGCCCGGCCTCAGTTATGTGATTCCGGGCCCATGAGCCTAGACGGTCCAAGACTGGCAAGAGGACACAGTGCAGTTGCTGGAGGTGAAGCCTGAGGGCTCAGAGCTCTGGTCTCCTGTGACGTCCTGTGCCTCAGCTTCCTCACTGAGGAAACTAAAACTTGGATAACAGTACTGCATAGGAAGTGTATGAGCAAGGGTTCTATGGGATGTTCCTTCTGGGGGTTCAAATGCTATCTGGTACCCACTGGCTGTGGAGAAAGGAAAGCTGCTAGCATCAGGCATCTGAAGGAAGGTCCATCAAGGCCCACAGGGGGAGGGAGGAGGGAAGAGCCCCAGTCCTCCCTGACCAGCCCCGGTCTGTGCTACAGGAACCTCCATCCTCACCCCTACACGGCCGTGAGGGCAATGCCACCAAGCCCGCCTACCCGCTGGGAAACAGGCAGAGACCCGGCGCAGAGGAGGGCCTCACCTCATCATAGACACTCTCAATCTCGTTGAGCAAGCTCTTGGAGCGAAGGGCCTTGGTGTCGTTCTGCTTGAAGTTCACGGCCTGGTGGTCCAGGGACTTGAGGTATGCCTTCTCGTACTGCTCCCGCCAAATCTTGTTGAAGCCCTGCTGGGCCTCCCGCCACTCCTCCTCCTTGGCCTTCAGCCTGTGGGGGCCAGAGGGGCTCAGCACAAGGACAGCATGGGAACAGCCTGTGACACCCACCTGAGCCATTCCTGCACTAGGGGACAAACCATGTGACTCCATTTGTGCCACAGTGGGACGGCCAGCGGCAGGCCTATCTGTATTGAGTAAAGGAGGGGAGGAGGGAGCCATGGTCCTGGAGGACCAATGTGGACAGTTTTATGGTTTCTCAAACGTCGCTGCCACGGAACCAACCTCCTTCCTGTCCTGGCTTCTGACCATATTCCATGTAGCTGTTGGCTCAACTGTGAACCCCATGAGGGGACTGTGTGGGTCTTGCTCAGCTCTGCAACCCCAGGGCCAAGCATAGCACCCAACTGAGGGCAGCACTTCGTATCTGTTCACTATCATGGAAAAGTTCCTAAGACACAATACTAAGTACAAGGCAAGCTGTGATACAGGTCCCACTCTTCATGTTTCGACCTAATTATGTGTGTGGTGGCCAAAGGACTAGGACAAGTGTTAACCATGCTTTCCTCTCGGGAGGGGAACAGGAAGACTGAGACACCCAGTATGGCACCCTGAGGCCCCAGGGAACCCCCCACCCCCCTCCCACCTTGTGATGACATCTGTGACCAACGACACTAATGAGAGAGTGCCCAGGGGCCAGAGCTGAGGAAACCTTTTGAGAACGACCGGGACAGCAGTGACAGGGTTTTTCTTGAGGCTCTCGATGATCTCAGGAGCCTTGTCCCCATAGATGCGATGGATGGCGCGACGCTGGATCACCTCCGACGTGCCCCCCAGACAGTCGTCCAGCCGGAACTTATCCTGGTCTTCCGGTGCCATCCGAGACAGTTTTTTCTGCACGCTTTCCAACACTCGAATGGTGGCCAGGTTGGTCTCCAGGACAACGTCTAACTATGGAGAGGAAGGCGGGAAGGGGTCAGTGGGGCCCTAGGGAAGAGCCTGGGCTGGCAGAAGGGATGCTAGGACAGAGCTAACGAACTCCACGTCTGAGGGGTGTGACGGGCATTAGAAGGTGGGGCCCTGAGCAAGTGAGGCTGATTACTGAGCTGGCATCCAGTCAGGGGAGGCACAAATGCAGGACCTGGTGCTGAGGGACTGAGAGCCATTGGCCATTCACTGCTGGCTGACCCCCTGCACAGGCAGAGAGCAAGCTTTGCTTGGCAGAAAAGGGGAACGGACCTGTGGTGTACTTAGCCCCTGGATGACTCTCAGGGCATGTGCAGGGGGAGCCAATCCCCAAAGGGAACATACCATGTGACTCCATTTGTGCCACAGTGAGAGATGAACAAGGTCAGTGTTGCCAGGGGTCAGGGCTGGGTGGGCCTGGGAGGGAGGTGTTCAGATATAAGAGGCAGAAGGAGGGGTCCTAGTGGTACGGAGCCGCTCAGTGTCTTGGCTGTGGTGGTGAACACAGGAACCACCAAAGGTGGAAACATGCAGAGCTGAATACACGTGTATGCACAATTCAAAACGTGCACACGCTACATATGCACACACAAATACAGTCCAATGGGGCAAATGTGCCAATGTCACTGACCTCACTGTGATTTTGTGACAGGGACTTATGAGCTGTTACCACTGGGGAAGGGAAGCTGATTGCTGTGTCTATTCTTATGCTGCATGTCAGCAAAATTTTCAAAAAATTAACTTAAGCTAACTAAATTTTTAAAATATGTTCTTATTGATTTTGAGAGAGAGAAGAAGGGAGGGATAGAGAGACAGAAACATCGATGAGAGAATAACATCATCAATCAGCTGCCTCTTGTACACCCCCCACTAGGGATTGAGCCCAAAACCCGGTATGTGCCCCAACCAGGAATTGAACCCACAACCTCTCAGTTTCTGGGTCGACACTCAACCACTGAGCCACACTGGCCAGGCAAGCTAACTTAATTTTAATTAAAGAAATTAAATTCAAATACATTGCCTAGCCAGCCTGAAGGAAAGCAAGGCAAAAAAGAGATCTGTGAGGACCTACCCTGTTGGAAAGTGCTGGCATCCCTGATACTCAAGAGGAGACGGGGGTGTGGTGCAGTGGGGAGGTTAAGAAGGGTCAGTGCAGACTGGTGCAGCCACTATGGAAGGCAGCATGCAGTTTCCTCAAAAAGTTAAAAATGGAACTCCCATTTGACCCAGTGATCCCACTTCTAGGAATATATCCCAAGAAACCAGAAACACCAATTAGAAAGGATATATGCACCCCTATGTTCATAGCAGCACAATTCACCATAGCTAAGATCTGGAAACAGCCTAAGTGCCCATCAACAGATGAATGGATTAGAAAACTGTGGTACATCTACACAATGCAATACTATGCTGCTGTAAAAAAGAAGGAATTCTTACCATTTGCAACAGCATGGATGGAACTGGAGAGCATTATGCTAAGTGAAATAAGCCAGTCAATCAAAGAAAAATACCACATGATCTCACGTATTTATGGATAATAAAGACCATTATAAACTGATGAACAAAAATAGATACAGAGGCAGAGCAGCATCAAAAAGATTGTCAAACTACAGCGGGAAGGCCGGGGAGGGTGGGGAAGGGCATAAGAGATCAACTGAAAGACTCGTATGCATGCATATAAGCATAACCAAATGGACACAAGACACTGGGGGGTAGGGGAGGCTGGGGGAAGGTCAAGGAGAAAAAAAGAAAGGAGACATATGTAATACTCTTTGTAATACTTTAAGCAATAAAACAAAATTTAAAAAAAAAAAAAAAAGGGTCAGGATATATCCCAGGATGGAGCGGGAGATGAGCAGGGGAGAGTGAGGACAGTGCCATGGAGGATGAGGACAAGGCACACCCCATGTCACCACCATCCTGGCCAGGACTCAGGGCCACCCAGAGGACCCTGCAGCACCAGCATACACACCTCAAAGCGCTCGTCCTCACAGCGGTGCAGCTGCTCCTCGTAGGGTGTCTTCTTAGAGCTGACAAAGGTGGAGTCCTCTGACCAAGACGGGAATGAGACCCAGGTGTCATTCAGCACCTGCATCAAGAAGAGATGCTGTTATCCCAGGTAACAAGCCCTGGCTGCCAGAACTGTTTATGGTACTGTTCATTGTAGAAAATATAAGAAGTAATATCGCCTTGATTTTACAGGAAATTCCCTTATCATACAAACAGTAAATGTGATCAAGTGAACAAATCATAGTATTTTAGGGGTTGGCAAACTTTCTCTGTAAAAAGCCAGATAATGCACACTCCCACCAGACTGGCTTCTCAAGTCATCCTATATAATAAAATGCTAACATGCAAATCGACCAAACAGCAGAACGACCGGTCGCTATGATGCGCACTGAACACCAGGGGCAGACACTCAATGCAAGAGCTGCCCCCTGGTGGTCAGTGTGCTCCCACAGGGGTAGTGCTGCTCAGCCAGAAGCCAGGCTCACAGCTGGCAAGTGCATTGGTGGTGGCAGGAGCCTCTCCCGCCTCCACAGCAGTCGGACATCCCCCAAGGGCTCCTGGACTGCGAGAGGGCGCAGACCGGGCTGAAGGACCGCCCCCCCCCCCCGCAGTGCATGAATTTTGTGCACTCGGCCTCTAGTAGAGTTAATAAAAGAGTAAGCAAGTGCCAAGCAGCCACTGATCCTGAACCAGAGTCGGGACAGGAAGATCAGAGAGAGAGGGACATGTCATGCACATACATGCCAATGAGAACTATACCTCCAGTAAGTCCACCTTCTCAGGGCAATGCCCCCAGCACAATGCATTTATGAATCAGAGCTTCTAACCTAACCATGGGCTCGCTCCATGAATCTGCCTACACCACAAGGCAGGCATCACGTGCCTGGGCTCCCATCTCGTTTTGGCCCAGATGCTTACTGGGACTGGAGACTGTCAGTGATTTCCCAGCTTCCTGAGACATGGAAATCTACCTCAATAATTATAAAAATGAGCCCGGCCAGTGTGGTTCAGTGGTTGAGCATTGACCTATGAATTGGGAGGTCACAGTTCAATTCCTGGTCAGGGCACATGCCTGGGTTGTGGGTTCGATGCCCAGAGTGGGGCATGTGGGAGGCAGCCGATCGAGATGATTCTTGCTCACTGATATTTCTATCTCTCTCCCCTCTCCTTTCCTCTCTAAAATCAATAAAAATATATATTAAAGCCCTAGCTGGTTTGACTCAGTGGATAGAGCCTTGGCCTGTGAACTGAAGGGTCCCAGGTTCGATTCTAGTCAAGGGCACGTGCTAGGGTTGCTGGCTCAATTCTCAGTAGGAGGCGTGCAGGAGGCAGCCAATCAGTGATTCTCTCTCATCATTTATGTTTCTATCTCTCTCTCCCTCTCCCCTCCTCTCTGAAATCAATAAAAATATTTATAAATATATTTTAAAAAGCCAGATAATAAATATGTCAAGTTTTGCGGGGACTACTCAATTCTGCCTTAGTCTTAGTAAAGTAGTCACAGGCGATATGCAAATCAATGGGCGTAGCTTTGTGACAATAAAACTTTATTGACAAACACAACCAATGGACCAGTTTTGGCCTGGGATTTGGCCCATAGGTGGTTCCTTGCTGATCCCTGGAACCCAGCAGGCAGTCTTGAATTCTGGATATACAGTAACAGGCTGTCCTTTAACCCTGAAGATATATTCAATTGTCACACTAAACAAAAACATACTGAGGGCAGTGAACCCAGGACAGAGCAGGCTCAGCAAAATGATGGCATTTGCCAACCCTATGCAGGTGCTGTGGGCTCCGTGCCTAACCAAAACTGCCAACAGGGTAAGAAACTCACCTCTGCTCAGGTATTTTGTTTTGCCACATCCCAGCACATCCATTACTCAACATTTAGGGGGCTGACATTCAGTCTTTTATCTGATATATGAGAATGACGGGTGTTTTTTTAGGGGGGGGAGGGGGAGCGGAAGGGGGTACATGCACCACACAAGCCAACCTAAGCCCCAGGGAGCTACCTCCTTGCAGATGGCCGTCCTCCCACTGCACTTGGGCTGCTGATAAGTTTTGGGGAGCGCCCGATAGCTGGATCCAATGCGCTTACAAGATGAATAGTCGATTTCCCGGCTTATTCCATCCCCAGATCTGTCGCTCATGGGCGGGGCGAATGACAGTTCTTTCACCCCCAGGAAAGACTTGAATTGTGCAAAAAGTTCTGGAAATTTCCTTCAGAAATAAAAACAAATGGTAAGTTGACACCCCCAGGGCTTCCAGGGAGTGATCTAGAGATTTCAGAATGGCTCCATATAGACATCCGTGGTTAAAGATGGTCAGAATGCACGCTCAGGGAGGAGAGACAGGAGGCAGAACCTAGCACCAGATGTGCATAAAGTCCCCACTTGGGAGTGAATCTGCCCCCCAAAACTTTGTCACCAGTCAGGCCCACCACCTGCACACTCTAGAAAAGACAACCTAGACTGGCAGAAGCTGGATCGGCAATGTTCCTTGACTGGAAGAGGCCAGGGTTGGCCAACCTGCCCACTCCTGTCTTTGTAAATCAAGTTTTATTGGCACAGTGATGTCCATCCTGACACACTGCTTGTGGCTTCTTTTGCACAATGCCGGAGTTAGGTAGTCTAGCCCCTGGCCCCTGAAGATCAGTCTGCCAAGCTCTGTTCTGGAGTCTTTCTCGCCCATGGGAGAAAGCTCTGTTCCTCCTCCTAGGAGCACCCTCTATGGATATATTCTCGTAAGTCATAATGTAACCACCACACATGTTGATGGGAAGGTTTTCGTGCAATCCACGCCAATGTCACCTGGGTTTATGTTTAAATAAGTGTCAAAGCCTACTGCAAGAGTGCAGTCACTATGACAGCTGGCACAGTGATCCTGCCGTAACAGCCAGGCAGGCTCCTCCCTGGGGTTTTCATTGGGGCTACACAGGTCACTAATACAGCCGTCTATAATGCACACTCACCATATTATGGATTCTATTTGAAGGGTCTTATGCGCAGAGCCCACATGGAGCTTTCCGAAACTGAGGTCAGACTGGCTAAGAAACCCGCCCAATGTGACAGGGCGGGTGAGGGGGAGGCAATGCTGGGACCTGGCCAATCCCCTTTCCTAAAGCTCATTGTGCACGAACTGCGGGTTTGCGTCCACCTCCTAGAACAGCCGTCACCAACCGGTGGTCTGTGAGGTCCAAAAGGTTGGCAACTGCTGTCCTAGAACATCCCCACCTTCCCAGCGGCTGCCCGGGCCTGGGGCCGCCCCACACTGCCGCCCACACACTGAGCAGGATGTGCGGAAGCTGGTGGTTAAGTGTTCCTCTCTGGGTGGCTGGGATGCTGATTGTTGGAATTTTAAAAGCCTACATAGTGAGATTCTCCAGGGCTCTACGCTGGGTGGAAAGAGCTGATCCTGACTCCATTTATGTAACACTTTTGTCGTGTAGGTGTCAGAGATGGAGCACAGAGATGGTTGTCAGGGGCTGTGGCGGGGACTGGAGCAGAAAGCAAGAGGGACACAGGCTTGGGTATCAAAGGTCAGCACAGGATCCTTGTGGTTCTGGAGCCACTGAGTATTGTGACTGTAGTGAGACACACTCCCTTCCCAGGTGACAGAACTGTACACACACACACACACACACACACACACACGAACTAGAAATAGGAAAACCTGCAAAGATGGGTGGGTTGCCCGAGTGTCACCATCCTGGTTGTGGTGCTGACTTCAGGGGTTCCCATGGGGGGAACCAGTCCTAGGATCTGTGTTCTTTCTTACTACTGCTGGTGAATCTATAACAATCCCCACAACAATTTCCATTTAAAGGCAGTATCAAAAAAAGTACCTATCATCTTCAAAACAATAGCCCAAAGAAAGGTGGACAGAGTTTACAGAAGCTAAACTTGTGGAGAGCCTGGCGCAGTGTTGCTCACCCTAAAAACGGGCTGACGAGCTGGAGGAGCTCAGAGCCGGACACGAGCTCCTGGTTGAAGAGTGCGATGCAGCGAAGAAAGTTCTCATAGACCTCCTGGCTCTTCAGGACCCTGCGCACCTGCAGGGAGAGTACGTCAGGAGGCTTTGCGGGCTGGGCCCAAGCCTGGCCCGTGCCTACTTGGCTTAGCCATCACTAGGTACATGAAGTCACCAACATGGGCTTGCTCTAAAGTGACTGGCCGTGGTCTGCATGGCAACGCTCTCCTTGAGCATTCACAGTTCAGATACCATGGGCCATCTCGCTGGTTCAGGCCACTGACCCCATGGGAGCCCCAGCATGAGCTCTGCTTTAGAAAAGTCACACAGTTGGGGTGTGGAAGATGTGTGTTCTCAAATCCGCTCGGCCCCGAGCTCTGACGCCTACAGCACACCACCTGCCATCTGTTCAATGATGGCCCACACTCCCTTCCACTGTGAAAGCTGGTGCCTGCCCCTCCTCCTACCTGCTCCCTTCCTAGAAGCTGTCGCCCTGCAAACCTCAGTCCCACCAGTCACCTTGTCAAAGAAGGAGAACTCCTGCAGGGTCCCGTGCTTCCCCACGGCGGCGATGGACAGGTCCTTGGTGCCACGCAGTTTCATCTTCTTCTGCGGAGAGAAACTCGTGCTGTCAGTGCTCTGTGCATCCATCTTTGTCAGAGTCAGCATGGCCAGCACCGAGTTCTGACAGGAACTGCCACTGGGTGCTGGGTGAGGTCAGCCCAGGACCCCCGTGGATGACCGTCTCAGAACCACTCACCTCCACGACCTAGTGACGGGTGAAGGTCACAGGACTGCCCCACCCATAATCTGGGATCTAAGTCTCGATAGCTTAGGGCTTTTGATAACAGGCAGGAACATCATAAAATTGGAATAGCAAGGTAGCTATGCCATTGGATACAATATCAGAAACCCCTCCTCTGCCCGTTTTATCCTGTGAGCCATGCAGTGATGGGAAAGGGACAGGAAGAGGACAGCACTGGTGGGATCCCACAGAGGCCCAGGTTTTAAGGCTCTGGAAGACTTCTGTCTCTAAGATAGACTAGGACCTAAACTTGGCTGCACTCCTGAGGCTACAAAACCATCTTCCGATGCCTGAAGAATGATGGAGATGTGTTAAGGGGACACAGGAGCCATCCCGAAAGGGCTGTACTGACCCATTTTGGGATAGTTTGGGCATCAAGATAAACTAATAGTTACGGATTATAACCCGGAGTTCATATTGACACAGGTAACTGAATAAAGGGGTGAAGGGAAGTCCTTCCTTACAGTAGAAAGTCCCCTAGTAAATGCACAAACAATGATGGAATGAGAACATCACTATCGGGTGATGAGAGCAACAGCAGCTGGACCTCAGCCCCTTCCATCCCTCAGCGGGGCACCCGATGCAGGGACCAACCCGCACAACTGTACATGGGCCCCGCCCATCAGAGAGGCGTGACAGTGCCAGGAGCAGAGTGAGCATTACCTCTGGTTTCTCGAGGAGGAGGGGACACTCCTCACACCTATCTGTGATCCAGGGAAACAGAGGAGCAGCACCCTTGGAGGTGAGCTGACTTCCCAGGTCCCACCGCCAGGGCATTTCAAGCCAGACCAGGGCCCAGACTCAGCCTCCTGCCCAGGCCTACTTGCTTGGGCTGCGAATGTTGCTCCCCAGTTCATGTACAGAGAAGGCAAGGCTGCCGTGTGTCCACACGCGTATATGCACACCCGAGGCTGGCGATTACCTTGGCCGGTGCTGACACAGGACGGAGGAGTGAGGGCCGGGAGCGCTTTTTGCTGTGTTCCAGGCTCTTCTCGTGCTCACTCTTCTGGACACTGTTCATTTCGCAGGGCCCATTTCCTGTGAACTAAGGACACAAACACAGGAGGTGGTTAGCGTTGGGGGGACACTGCCGGGCCCATCAGTGCTGGTTCTCTACTTGTCTGCATGCCTGGAACAGCCTTCAGCTAGGACCCTGGCTCCAGAGAGCACTGTCTGCCATGGGCCAGGGGCTCTGTCCATATGTGGGGTGACCCCAACTCTCGAGATGCTCACATTTACTGGGGAGAGACCCGTGTACCCAGATCATGACAGTGTGACAAACACCATGAGGCTGGGAGAAGGCTCACAGAAGGCCACGATGGAGGCTGGGTCCTGACCGGCGAGAGCAGCCATAGGGTGAAACACTGGGGCTGGGCCTGGGTGTGTGGGGCTCACCCAGTGGACCACCGATAACGAGGGTCTGGTGTTCAAGTGCATCCAGAAGGGAAAGCACTTCAGACGAGGCGACTGGCACGCACAGAGCCCCAGCAGCAAGAGGAAGCAGCCGACAGCCTCCAGGTCACTGGGCGGGGTGGGGCGGGGTGGGGTTGGGGGTGGGTGAGCCAAGTCTGTATTCTTTCCTATGAATGAGCAATGTCAGCACTCAGTACTCGCAGGCTCTACACCAGCCATCAATGAACAGGTTAGGGCTGTTTCTCCCAAGTGGGGTATCTATTGGGTGTTAGCAACATTTACAAAAAACGCCTCTGGGAGAACTTGCATCTATGTGAATTGCCGGAAAGCTGGAGTGGGTGGAGTGGGACAGACTGCAGCTTTTGGAGGCACTCCGAAGTCACCCACCACATTGTCATTCCCACCCCACCATGGGACCTGGACGGGGAGACACCACATAAAGGACGCGCTATAGGCCCACAGCGTGGGCTGGGTGAGCACGTCATGCTGCACCCAAAGAAAACAGCAGCATCTACCAGGTAACAGTGAGCTCTGCATCTGTGTGTCTCTGCCTGAGACCGGTGTACATGATACACTGTTACATAAAACAGAAAAGAAAAAAAAATCTAAGCAGAATAAACAGGATGCCATTAAAAAAAAAAAAAAAAAAGGATAGCCCTAGCCAGTGTTTTCAGTGGTTAGAGTGCCGGCCTGAGCACCAAAGGGTCACGGGTTCAACTCTAGAGGTCAAGGACACGTACCTCATACTTCGGTTATGGGTTCGCTCCCCAGCCCTGGTCAGGGTGCGTGAGGGAGGCATCAGTCAATGTCTCTCACATGGATGTTTTCCCCTGCCCTCCCTCCCTCTCCCATTCTCTCCCTCCCTATCTGTTACTCTTTCTCTGAAAAGCAATGGGAAAAATATCCTCAAGGTGAGGATTAATAAAAAAGGATAAACACCTGTTTGCACATGCAGTGGGAATTTCTAGAGGGACTCAATGTAAGACACTGTGGGTGCTGACCTCTGAGGACAGTGACTGGGGAACTGAGGAGAGAAAGGGAAATTTACTTTTCATACTTGATACTCTTACTGATACTTGATTTTTTTCATGAGCACCTACTATTTTATAATAATTATAATGACAGTAATAAAATCTTATCGTTAACTACAGGCCACATTTGTCCCTTAGGGGAAAAACTTCTTTGGAGAATAGTCATCTAAAGAGTCAGTTACTCTTAAGAATATTAAGTGGAAAATTCTCCCTCATCTCCTTTGTGGCTGTAAGAATAGGTGAAAACACCAATTCCTAAAGGAGACCGGCAGTGGCACTATGACATGCACTGAGTGGACGGAGATTGGGGGCCAATGGGGAAACCCAGTGCTTGCCCAGCCGAAGGGCAACATTAGCTAACATTAGTTAACAGTTGCAACTTATGAACACTTGAGCTACATGGACCCAAAGCCCATTTGGCTGGGGGTTGGCATATTCACCATGCTTCTTCGCCTGTTTCTGTAAATGAAGTTTTATTAGCACACAGGCACACCCACTTGACATACAGTCCAAGGCTGCTTTCCTGATAGAGCGCCAGCCTGCACACCAAAGGGCAGCAGAACTGAGTCTTTGCAACACAGGATGCCTGGCCTGCAAAGCCCAAGATACCTGGCCCTTCACACGAAAACATTAGCCAGCTCTGACCTAGGCTAAACAGTCAGGTTTAATTAGCACAACATCAAATTTCATCTTGGTTTCTTTTTCCCGAAATTTTTAATAGAAGTCCAAATATTAATACAAAGAACCATAATATAAAGTTCACTTTATGTAACAAATTGTACATGGGTGTTTTTAATAATTTAAACATTGATTCAATCTTCCTAAATAGAGAGAACCAAGATGGCGGCATAGGTTAACGCCGGAGTTTGCTGCTTTGAACAACTACTTCAAAAGTGAAACTAAAAGACGGAAGGGACATCACCCAGAACCACAGGAACGCTGGCTGAGTGGAAGTCCTACAACTAGGAGGAAAGAGAAACGCATACGGACACTCAGAGGAGGCGCAGTGCTGAAGTCAAGTTCTGAGGTGCGTAGTGCGCGGTTGGCGTTTTCAATCGGGAGGGAGTCACAGACTCTGAACTCCAGATACCGGCGAGTCTTTAGTGACCCAGACTCAAACCGGAGAAGCCGGACTGTCTGGCTTCAGTCAGAGCGAGTGCAGCTTTCTCTGCGAGCTTTGCAGCGGGTGCTGGGACTCAGAGAGGCAGAGCCCCTGGGGACAGGACTGAGAGCCGCCATAACTGCTCTCTCCGGCCCACCCTGTTGATCCTGTGCGACCCGCCCCGCCCAAGCCCTGCACACAGGCATTTGCCGGATAGCCTCAGGCAAAGGCTAGATTAGCACCTCCCTAGAGGACAGAAGTTCTCTCACTGCTGACACAGCTGATTCTCATAGCCACTTGGCCTGGAGGTCAAACCCTCCCTGGAATTAGCTACAACAATCAAGATTTAATTATAAGACTGCGAACAAAGACCACTAGGGGGTGCACCAAGGAAGCATAACAAAATGCGGAGACAAAGAAACAGGACAAAATTGTCAATGGAAGATATAGAGTTCAGAACCACACTTTTAAGGTCTCTCAAGAACTGTTTAGAAGCCGCCGATAAACTTAATGAGATCTACAAGAAAACTAATGAGACCCTCGATCTTATATTGGGGAACCAACTAGAAATTAAGCATACACGGACTGAAATAACGAATATTATACAGACTCCCGACAGCAGACCAGAGGAGCGCAAGAATCAAGTCAATGATTTGAAATGCGAGGAAGCAAAAAACACCCAACCGGAAAAGCAAAATGAAAAAAGAATCCAAAAATGCGAGGATAGTGTAAGGAGCCTCTGGGACAGCTTCAAGCGTACCAACATCAGAATTATAGGGGTGCCAGAAGATGAGAGAGAGCAAGATATTGAAAACCTATTCGAAGAAATAATGACAGAAAACTTCCCCCACCTGGTGAAAGAAATGGACTTACAGGTCCAAGAAGCATGGAGAACCCCAAACAAAAGGAATCCAAAGAGGACCACACCAAGACACATCATAATTAAAATGCCAAGAGCAAAAGATAAAGAGAGAATCTTAAAAACAGCAAGAGAAAGAAACTCAGTTACCTACAAGGGAATACCCATACGACTGTCAGCTGATTTCTCAACAGAAACTTTGCAGGCCAGAAGGGAGTGGCAAGAAATATTCAAAGTGATGAATACCAAGAACCTACAACCAAGATTACTTTATCCAGCAAAGCTATCATTCAGAATTGAAGGTCAGATAAAGAGCTTCACAGATAAGGAAAAGCTAAAGGAGTTCATCACCACCAAACCAGGATTATATGAAATGCTGAAAGGTATCCTTTAAGAAGAGGAAGAGGAAGAAAAAGGTAAAGATACAAATTATGAACAACAAATATGCATCTATCAACAAGTGAATCTAAGAATCAAGTGAATAAATAATCTGATGAACAGAATGAACTGTTGATTATAATAGAATCAGGGACATAGAAAGGGAATGGACTGACTATTCTTGGGGGGGAAAGGGGTGTGGGAGATGCGGGAAGAGACTGGACAAAAATCGTGCACCTATGGATGAGGACAGTGGGTGGGGAGTGAGGATGGAGGGTGGGGTGGGAACTGGGAGGAGGGGAGTTATGGGGGGGGAAAAGAGGAACAAATGTAATAATCTGAACAATAAAGATGTAATTAAAAAAAAAAATCTTCCTAAATATATAAGGTAGCTCTAATCACCTACTATACTCTAAAAAACTGAATTGATAACAAATGCCATTTTAAAAAAATGGATGGGCAGGGGAAATGCTTTTTTTAGGACGGGCTTTATCTATGCCTAATTTTGTAAATTTCCAGTCATGTTCACCAGGGGGTGCTGCAACCACATCCATGAGAGGACAAGAGGTTCCACTCACTGGCCATCCACCAGTGCTTGAAGCATCATCATCATCAAGATGAAATTTCTAAGAGATCAACTAAAGGACTTGTATGCATGCATAGAAGCATAACCAGTGGACATAAGACATTGGGGGGTAGGGGAGGCTAGGGGACTGTCTAGGGCGGGGGGATAAAATGGACACATATGTAATACCCTTTGTAATACTTTAAGCAATAAAAAAAAAAAAAAAAGATGAAATTTCATGAGAACTAAGACCACCCTTGACCCAAAATTGCTAAGAGTTGGAACAAACAGTGTAGACAGACAATTTTATCAATTACCTACTGTCTGCTGTTGTGCAATGCCCCCCATAACCCCAATGGAAAGCATTCTCCACCCGCTATCCTGACTGCCAGGGTGGTTCAGGAGCAAAGACCCAGGCTCACTCTGGCCAGGCACTTCCCTAAGGAATTTTCCAACTGGCCCAGGAAGAGAGGGTCACTTCCTAGAGGCTCCCAAAGTGACCTGCCAGGCTCCCACAGCAAGAAGGTGACAAGGTGAGACTAGAACCAAGGTGTGCAATCATGAGCCCTTGTTGCTCCAGGCACTGCACCCACTATCTCTGGTTAAGGCAGGGCTGCTCTCTCGAGCCTCCCTGGGGTGTGGAGAAGGACGCATCGCTAGCCCCTTCACTTCCGCCAGAGTAGCGAAAGTGGGCTGGGACTCAGCCAGACCTTCCTTCCCAGGAAGGTGGGCTGTCCCTGGACCACTCAGCGCTGCCGGCTGGCTCTGGGAAGGCCAGTCAGGGCATTACTGTGTGCCTATCTCCCTGTGAAGATAGAATTCAAGGAAAAAGCTGCCAAGGCTGAGATGCAAGCCCCAGATCCAAGAGGATGAGACCCAAGGGGTCTACAAAGCATATAAGGGGGCAAGACGGAGCTTCAGAGTATGACAGGATGCAGCTTGAACTACCAGGGATGCAGAAGGAAGAGGAGGGACTTTTGCCAAGAAGAGAAAGATGGAGCACTGAGCACATGCCGGGCCTTGCAGAAGGCACTTGAAGAACAACAGTTTGCCGAAACTGGTTTGGCTCAGTGGATAGAGCGTCGGCCTGCAGACTGAAAGGTCCTGGGTTCGATTCTGGTCAAGGGCATGTACCTGGATTGCGGGCACATCCCCAGTAAGAGGTGTGCAGGAGGTGGCTGATCGATGTTTCTCTCTCATCGATGTTTCTAAGTCTCTATCTCTCTCCCTTCCTCTCTGCAAAAAATCAATAAAATATATTAAAAAAAAATTTAAAAAAAGAAAAAAGAAAAACAACAGTTTGTCGCGTCCCCATCTGAGCAGGAGGCAGGAAGGAAACAAGGCCCAGGAGGCACTGGCCAAGCCCACCTACAGCGCCCAAGGAGGCTAAGCAAGTGCCATGGTCCAGGCTGTGTTCACTGGGCACCAAGCAGGTTGAAAGGATGGGCTACAGCTCCAGCACTTAATATCAGCCCCACTGATAGGCACAGAGCTCCTCCAACTTGGAGTCAGGAAGTGTCTGCTGGTGGCATCCTTGCTTAGGGATATCACTAAGTGTCCTGGAGACAGTGACACGGGCGGGGGGAGGGGGTCGGCACGTGCAACGAGCCCCAGCCCAGGTACTGGAAGTCTGCCTGACTAGACAAAGCGTCTTCAAGGCATCCAAACCCAGACTCCTGCCCCTGATCTCCTCCCTTTGAGACCGCCCTCACAGCATCTCCATTCAGATAAAGAAACCACGCGAGGTGGTGATCAAGTGTGAAGTGTGTGTGTGTGTGCGCGCGCGCGCGCATTTCTGTGCTCACTCTCCAAGTCGTCATCAGGACAGAGAGGAAAAATGAAAAGAGGAAGGGGAAGTCAACAAACTAGGAAGAGAAGGGAACTTCCTCAATCCAGTAAAGGGCGTTTATGAAAAATACACAGCTCACGGCACACTCAATGGTGAAAAACTTAAATCTTTTGCTCTAAGATCATGAACAAGACAAAGATGTTTGCTCCCACCACAGTACTGGAGGTTCTACCAGGGCAATTAGGGCAAAAAAAGAAAAAAAGAAAAGGGGATTAAAATTGAAAAGGAAGAAGGGAAACTATATTAGCAGGTGACATGATCTGATACACACAAAATCCTAGCAAATGCACAGAAACAAAGCGAATAAATGAATTCAGAAAAAACTACAGGTTACAAAATCAACACACAAGAAAGCAGTAGTGTTTCTATATGCTAGCAATGAACGATCAAAAATGCAATTAAGAAAATTTCCTGTCCATTAGCATCAAAAAATAGTAATACTTAGGAATAAGTTTAATCAGGGCAGTGTAAGACATGTACATTGAAAACTATAAAACATTGCTGAAAGAAATTAAAGAAGATTTAAACAGATGGAAAGATGCTCATGTTCATGGATTGGAAGGCTTACTATTGTTAAGATGGCTATACTTCCCAAAACAGTTGAAAGATTCATTGCAATCCTTATCAAGATCCCAATGGCCTTTTTCATAGAAATGGAAAAGCTGATCTTCAAATTACAAGGGGCCCTGAATAGCCAAAACATTCTTAGAAAAGAACAAAAACTGGAGGACTCACACTCTGGCTTTCAAACTTATTACAAAACTACAGTAAACAGGACAGTGTGGTGCGGGCATAAGGGAAGACATGGAGATTAATGAATTAGAATAGAGAGTCCATAAATAAACTCATACAACCATGGCCAACTGGTTTTCAACAAGGGTGCCAAGCCCATTCAATGGGAACAAAAGAATAGTTTTTTCAACAAATGGTGCTGGGGTGACTGGATCTCCACATGCAAAAGAATGAAGTTGGGCCCTTACCTCACACTCTATATAAATACTAGCTCAAAAGGGATCCATGACCTAAATACAAGAGCTAAAACTATTAAAAGAAAACACATGGAGAAGCCTTCCTGAATTCAGAAGAGTTGGCAATAGATTCTTAGATTTGACACTAAAAGCATGAGCAACAAAAGAAGAAATGGGTAACTGGACTTGATCAAACTTTAAACTTATGTGCATTAAAGGACACTAAAAAAAAAAAGGACAACCTGCAGAATGAAGGAAAATATCTAATAAGGATCTAGTGTTCAGAATACACAAAGAACTCTTACAACTCAACAACAAAGAGACAAACTAAAACATGGGCAAAGAAATGTGAATGCACATTTCTCCAAAGAAGATGCACAAATGGCCAACAAGTGCATGAAAAAAAAAAGTTCAATATCATTAGCCAGCACGGAAATATAAATCAAAACCACGATGAGATGCACTTCACATCAACCATGAAGGCTATAATTAAAAAGACAAACAAAAAAAACAGGAGCCCGGCTGTGCTGCTCAGTGGTTGAGCGTCGATCTATGAACCAGGAGGTCACGGCTTGATTCCTGGTCAAGGCACATGCCCAGGTTGCAGGCTCGATCCCCAGTGTAGGGCATGCAGAAGGCAGCTGATCAACGATTCTCTCTCATTGATGTTTTTATCTCTCTCTTCCTCTGCCTTCCTCTCTGAAATCAATAAAAATCTATTTTTTAAAAAAATCAATGGAAAAATATTTTCGGGTGAGGATTAACAACAATAAAAGCAAGCACCTTATATTCATGAAAAAGAGGAAATGGAAAGGGCAGTCCAGCAAAACTCGGGCCACAACAGGGATAGACAGACTAACAATGCAGTCTGTATCTTCATAGTCGCTGTCCCCCGTCCCTCCTCTGCTCTGCCTCCTGTCATTGCTAAGACTCAGCCCTCTGCCCCCCGCCCCCGCACCTGCCCACAGAGCCCTGGTTACAAGGCAGGTGGCTCTGCGGTCCTTGTCACAGGACTGAAGGTCAGGAGAATACAAGGTCCCCTCCCCTGGTCTTTACCTACCAAAGCAGCCCTTGCCATCTGGCACTGTCCACTGAGAAGCCCTCTTCAGGATCTACTCCCACTTGACATGGAGGTGGAACCTGTGATGGGAGCCTCCCTGGGAGTCTGTATCCTGGGGGAAGCCAGTATGTCCGGGGGTTGGACAAGCCTGGCCTGGCTCTGTGGGCTGCACTGAAGCACGCGGCCCTGGCTGAGAAGGTGCCCCCGGGCTGGGTGGGTGCTCTGTACTCACCAGGGACCGCTTAGCTTCGGGCAGGAACTGTCCAAACTCTGAGAGCAGGTCCTCCTGGCCCCGGAAGAGGTTGGCCACCTCGGTGAACACCTCCTCTTCAGACATGCCTCGGAAGGGCCGGCCCTTTGTGCTCAGCTGCTCCTTCTGCCAATTGTTGGGGGGAAAAAATGAGTCGTTAGCCAAGGAACCAGGTACTTAGGCTGTGACATTCAGGCAAACCACTGTGGAGGAGACAGAAGGACAGCTACTGGGAGAGAGGGGCCCACCTTGGGGTGCCCCGTATCGGGCCCCCTTGCTTGGAGAACAGTCCTATGTGCTTGTGTCTGAACCCAGTTCACAGCACAGCCTGAGCCCTGGCCTTGGATGGTGCCTGTGCTAGGAGAGTGGGGGATGTGGACAGGGACACAGCCGTGGAAGGACATGGTCCCCGCCCCCCCAAGGGCAAGGGAGCATGTTTTGCTGGGCAGGGAAGTGTGGAATTGGTGCTGGGCCTTCAAGGGAAGAGAGTAGAGAGAAGGGAAGGCACTTCAAGGCCAACAAAACGGTTCACGAGTCACCAACACTTGAAGAAAGATGGTCTGACTCAGAGCTCAAAGTAATAATATAAAGACCGGCAGGGACCTGGGTTGGGAGGGCAGGAAGCTGAGAGCAAAACTCAAGTTGGATATTAAAAATAAGTTCCTGTCAACTTTACACCTGAGGATATGACCAAGTAAGAGGTGTTGAGGCCGAGGCCCTCCCAGAGCGAAGGACATTCCCATCAGTATGCCTACTCCACAGCTACAAAGGGGAATGGGCCCACGTCTCCCTTCCTCCCGGCCTGCTGCACTGAGGGAAGCTGGTTTTCAATCCTGACCCATAGCACCTGTTTAAGACGGGGAAAAATAACTGCCTCACCCCCCCGCCCCCCCCGCCCCAAAGCCACCAGGACACGTGAAAGACAAAGGGGAGATGGGCGAAGACCATTCAGTTCAGAGAATTAAGTCACCTCTATACACATGAAACCATGATCACACTGGGTGATGTTTAAAGAAAAACGTCAAACAGTGCCACTTCGCTCATCAGATCGACAAAGATGAGGAGGACTGGTTTTTCCAAGGACGTGGGAACCATAAGGCGGAGAGGAAGGCTGGCACAGGGAAACGTGGAGCTATCTATGACCACGTTACGGGCACACACCCTGACTTAGGGACGCACGTTCTGGGAATGTCCCCAGAGATGGTCAGTTCTGTTTTAACATTTGTTTTGAAAACATATCTGTTTGAGCTTGACACATGTCCTAAGGAATCATCTGAGCGCAGTGAGGATTTTACGATTGTTTATGAGGCACCAACCCCCAGTGGTTCTGGTTGGAGGACACCAAGCTGTACCTTCACCGTTGAGTCTTCTCTGAATGAGTCTGTGCCCCATCAATATGACCTTAGATAAATAAATCTAACTTCTCTGCCTCTCCATTACCATCAACAGAACAGATACCTCCCAGTCTCCTCTCTATAATGGTTCTTCCAGCCCCTACGCTGTAATGACCCCATGGAATCTGTGAAGGACCCATAAGCTCCTATGATCCCAAACATCACTGCCCCCACCCCCAGATGTGGGAGAAGCCCTGGGCAAGAGCAGAACATTGCACCGAGCTGACCTGAGTAGTGTGGGAATCTACCTGCCCCCCTTCAACATCTGTTAGGAGCGACCGGCCATCCCCGTCGGGAGTTACAATGTCCGTGCCATTCAGGAAACCTCCTCCCAGCATCTCACGGTGACCCACACTACAGGCTGCAATCTTCCCACACCCACGAGTGAACCACAAGGCTTTCCAAGGTCAAGTGCTGTGGTATTTATGTCATTCTCAGCCATTTAATGTTTACAATGGTGCCACCATTTTTAGTAGGTGCCTTTTTTTAACGTGTCGCTAACAGTTTCCCAGTGTCGTGCCCTGACCCTGTTTTCCCAAAAGCCCTGTGGCGGGTGCGATTTCCAGAGCAAGGTCACTTCTAGGAATGTCAAGCGTCACATGGGGGCAGGACTGGCTGTGCTCACCCCGTACACACGGGACAGCTGTATGCAGGTGGATGATGGGACCAGCTCTCCACAGCTGACCCAAGGCAAGCACTGTGAGTCAATGGCCTAGTGAAAGCTGCATTTAATCCAGGGGTCAGCACCACCAGTGTTACAGCCATTTTACAGATTAGAACCTGAGGTTCAGGGGCGTGAGGGAAAGGGTTCTGAGGGCGCAGGTGGCAGAGCTAAGATCTGAACCAAGACCTAACAGAGATCAAACCCAGGAACACACGGCCAAATTTACCAGAGCTGCTTGCGTTGGGCCTCACAGTGTCTTTTAAAAATCCAAGCCAATGTTCTAAAACCAAGATAACTCACACAAAAATTCAGCTCCTAGCTCCTCTTGAAGGAACGGACAGCCTCGGGTCTGGGTCATCAGGAGGCTTGTTTGAAATGCAGATGCTGGGCCAGATGTGAGGAGTCATAACTCTGGGATGAGTTCCAGGCACCAACCCCCAGTGGTTCTGATTGGAGGACACCAAGCTGTACCTTCACCATTGAGTCTTCTCTGAATGAGTCTGTGCCCCATCAATATGACCTTAGATAAATAAATCTAACTTCTCTGCCTCTCCATTACCATCAACAGAACAGACACCTCCCAGTCTCCTCTCTATAATGGTTCTTCCACCCCTACGCTGTAATGACCCCATGGAATCTGTGAAGGACCCATAAGCTCCTATGATCCCAAACATCACAGCCCCCCACCCCCAGATCGAATGCTCACAGCTACCACTGCAATAGCTCATCTGTGAGAAGCAAGTTCTTCCTGCTGTACAAGCACTACATACTAGACATGAGCCAGATGGGGCCATGCACACCACCAGCACCACTAGCAAAAGTTTGGCCAAAGTTTGTTGTGTCAAAACAGCTCCACTGGGTTTTCAGGGAGCAAACGTTATCTGACCATACACACTTACGCTAAAGAGAATCTTACTTCTTTATTTCACTTATCAAGGTTGTGCAGAAGACTTCATTTTTTAAAGTGGGTTCTGCTGCTTAGAAGAATAAAAGGTGTCAGAAACTCCATGTCTGGAAGAGGATGACGTCCAAGCCCTTGCATGACACAGATGTCCCTCACCACGGCCTGCCTGTGCTTCCTGTTAAGTCTCCTTCTGACCCCTGGGCCTTTGCGTGGGCTGTTCCCAACACGGAGAGCCCATCCTTTCTCTGTACCTGTCTACCTGATGGTTCTGGCCCATTTGTCAAGATTCAACCTGAGCATCTTCTCCCTGACCCTTACACGGTTGGCAACCACTAACCCTGACATACTTCTTTGCATTTCCCTTTTTTTCCCACCCTCATCATCTCAAGTTTCTCCCACTTCTAGACTGAACTCCTAAGCAGCAGCAGCCATTCACCTCTGCGGCCTCAGTGCCTGCACAGCTGTACTCAGCAAAAATAAAAGAAGCTGTGTGGTCTAAACAATGATGAAGTCGTCTTAGAACAAGAGCATCCCCTTAGGTTCTTTTTTAATCCTTCTATGTATGTTTCCTTGGGTACAGAGCTGCCTCAAGGAGTATATTAAAACCATAATAAAAAAAACCCAAAACACAAACAAACCCATAACCAAACCAAACTCCAATAGGTATTTGTACATCCATGTTCAAAGCAGCCAAAATGTAGAAGCAACTCAAATGTCCATCCAAAGATGAAAGGATAAACAAAATCTGTTCCATCAACACAATGGAATATTATTCGGCCTTATGATCCCACTAGGTGAGGTCCCTAGAGGAGTCAAAAAATTCATGGAGACAGAAAGAATGGTGGGTGCCAGTGGCTGGAAAAGGGGATGGGAAGTTAGTGTTTAATGGGGACAGAGTTTCAGTTTTACAAGATGAATAGAGCTTTGGAGCAGGGCAGTGGCGATGGCTGCACAACAATGTGAATGTACTTAATGCCACTGAACTGGACACTTAAACATGGTTAAAATGCTAAGTTTTACATTATCTGTATTTTACCACGGTAAAAAAAATTAATGCAAAAACAAGAGCTTATCAGATTTTTACAGGATTCCATGAATTCAGACAAGAAAATGCACCTGACATTTTATTACACCGGGAAGAGCTGCAGAGAAGTGTGGCCTGAGTGAGGCCTCTTACCTGGTAAGTATGCAGTATCTCCAGGAATGACCTGTAGATCTCAGGGTGGTCCAGAAAGCGGGTCTTAATCTTGTTCACATAGCTGATGGCGTTGTTGAACTCCACCGAATCCGACTCCAAGGGCACCTGGGGTTTGTCCTCCTTGTACAGCAGCTGTTGTTTGAAGTTCTCAGCACAGTCGCTGTGGTTGTGCGAATTCTCCTGACAACAATATGACAGTAAGTGACTGCCGGCCCGACACCAGGAACAGATTGTGACAAACGCCAGACCGAACGCCACTATCTGTATGAGAAAAGGCAAAACCTCGCACAAAGCCAAGTATTTCAATTAGATGCAGAAAAAAGGTGCTGTCTGCGGGCCCAGGGGGAGGAATGCAGATGGGGGAGCCCACAGAACAAGCAGATGGCTCCTCCTGGGCCTTCTGTGGGCCTGTGCTCTCCTGGGCAAGTCTTATGAACTCGCCTCCGCCTGATCCTTTCCAACTGATTCAGAGAACACGAAGGTTTCAGAAACACTCTACACTTTAAAAAATTAGCATTTGCAAGAAATGTATAAAATGTGGATTGCTTAATCCTTTTCAGAGTGGATTTTTGGCCTCTTTATAAAATAAATCTTCCTACACTTTTTGTCAGCCCATTTCAGTGAGATTGTTTTCAGTTGTAAAAGCACCTGCTCTTAGCAGGTATAAAACTGGGACCCTGCCGATAAGGGGGGCCCACTGTCCAGGCTACATGGGATTGCGGGACTTTTGGTATTAAGCCCAGGGCAAGTCACTTGAGAGGAGAGATGGGCCCTGACCAGTCATCAATCATGCCTTTCATTTGTGTGTTCCCATCAATACAAATAAAAAAACCGACATACACGTCTCTCTCCTGTGCACTCAGAATCCTAGTTCTTAGTGGGACAGGACCCACGCCCAAGGTGGTATTTATGTTTCTAAACTGGAATTTGGGAGTGGTTCTGATGACAGCCTCCCTCTGCCACTGACAGCAGCTGGGCCGTCAGGAGTGACCCTCGGCATCCTGCAGGTCCCCAGCAGGCAGGGGCTGTTCCTCAGGCAGTCTTCTGGAACCATCCTGTGCCCAACTAAAGTGCCTGTCTCCCAGCACTCTGAGCCCCTTTCTTGCTGTTTTTCTCTTACTGTAGCATATTGTACTTATTTTGTTGTCTGCCCACCCTGACCAGATGGCAAACATCATGCAGACAGAGACTCTACTTTGTTCACAACTATATCCCCAGTGCCTGGAACAGAGCTTGGGACAGAGCAGGCGTCCTCCACTGCTGGGGAATGACCAGATGCACAGGTGAAGGAACAAACTGAGTCTACTGTTCCCATTGCCCAGGCGCCCAGCACCCCACCTGCACCAACCCCTGACCAAAAGGCCTGGAGCGGGATGGGGACTGCTGGGCACACTGCCCATCAGCTGGGTGGGTGTACTAATCTGCTGGAGATGCCATAACAAAATACCGCAGACTGGACGGACCCCTTCAATAACAGGAACCTATTCCTCACAGGTCTGGAGGCTGCAAGTCTGGAGGTTGGTGTCTCCTGAGGCCTCTTAGCTTGTAGACGGCCGCCTTCTCACGGTGTCCTCACATGGCTGTCTCTCTGTGTGCACCCAACCCTGGGCCTCTCTGTGTCCAAATTTCCTCAGGACACCAGTCAGACTGGATTAGGTGTCATTATCACTGTAAGGACCCTATCTCCAAACACAGTCACATTCTAGCACACAGGGTGAGGCCTTCAGTGAGGGAATTTGGGAAGGGGACACAATTCAGCTCCTAACAGTGGGTGCAGAGGCAACTCTAGAAAGTCTGAGCTGAGGAGGGCAGACACACAACAGATCCAGAGCAGTCACAATTCTAAACACCACTTCTCCTGGGCAGGGGAATTCATTCTAAGACACTCTGGGGGTGCTCCTGATTACCGCCCAGTGGAAGATGGAAGGAGCAGGGAGAGGGAGCAGCCTTGGGTCGGGGTTTGCTTTACAGAAGGCTGTGCTCTCACCCAAAGCTCCCCATGACTCCACTCCGAGGGGGCATTTTCAAGCACCACATTCCCCGTTCACCCCCCCTGGAGTGAGCCACTGTGACAAGACAGAGTACTATCCCTAGAGACGAGGGCTCCAAAAAATGGGCCAGACAGTAATGGTACAGTGGCTAGAGCAAACAGTCTGGCATTTCTTTAGTAAGTTAAACATAATTACCATGTGACCCAGCAATTCTGCTCCCAGGTATCACCCCAAAAGAACTGAAAACAGGTGTCAAAATCACCAATAGTGGAAACAACCCAAGTGTCCGTCAGCTGAATGAACAAAATGTGGTCCATCCATATGGTGGAATATTATTTGGCCATGAAAAGGAATGAAGCTCTGGTTCATAGACACTCTAGTACAACATGGATGAACCTTGAAAACGCCATGCTGAGGCCAGAGACAAAAGATCAAATAGTGTATGATTCCATTTTCATGAAATATCCAGAACAGGCAAATCCATGGGGAGAGGAGTGGATTAGTGGCTGCCAGGGGAGAATTAGGAGGTATAGTATCTTTTTGGAGTGATAGAAATGTTCAGGAATTGGTGGTAGTTGTACGATATTGTGAATATATTAAGAAACCACTGGACACTTTTAAATGGTTATAATGATGAATTTTGTTTTGTAACTATTACAATTAAAAATATTTTTTAAATGTAACGTTCAGAAAATGCAGAAACCACTGGCCATACAAAAACAAGCTGGCTTTGGCTCAAGGACCGTAGTTTGCCAATTCTTGGTCTGAACCTTCTGGAACAATCCAGTCTTTTCTCTTCTCTGCCAGCTGGGGTTGGCCTGGTCTAGGCAGTTAGAATGCCTCGTAGACACTGATGAGCCTTCCTGAGCTCCCCACCAACTCCCCACATTCCTGTCTCTCTAGCCCACCCTCTAGCCTTCATGTCCCAAACCCACTGGGTTTCTGGACATTTCTCAAGCACACCCACTCATTCCTACCTCAGGCCTTTACCCCCACCACCAGGGAGACTCCCATCCCTACCCAGACACAGGCACGGCTCCTGCTGCCCCCTCAAGCCCTGCCCCGCCACCGTTCGCCTGCAGTGCTGAACTCCCTCAGACGTCCCATCTGTCCATCTGTATCGCAGCAAGCACCTCAAGAACTAGAACTTCCAATAAACCTCGGGGCCTCACCCAGAGGAGTGTCTGTACTCACTCTGTGAGTGACTTAGCACAGAGAGGATCTGCCAGGAAGTGTCTGAACTTCCTGAAAGTGGAAAGCAGGCCTCCCTTTGAATGCAATGGGGCCACTTTCTTACAAGCGGCACCTAAAGGTTTATCTTTTTGTCTCTGTCCTAGCTGGCCTTCATCCCAGCCAAGCATAAAAGTCAGCTCTGAGATGACAGGATCTGCCCTCAAGGGGACCCACTGACATCATTTCTCCCCCGACAACATGTGCTGAAAGGAGGCCACGGTCATGACCACGACAGACGAGGGTCATGCCTGACCAGGAGGACTCCCAGTTTTCCAGGGAAGGCAAATCAACAAGAAACAGTGGCTTTTTAATTTTTTTCCTGCCTTTGCTACTCTGAAATATACAAAAAGGTGTGGTGTGAGAATGACTTGGAAGTGACAGTGGAGGGACTCTCTGCAGAGGTGAGGTGACAAATGAGGCCCTGATGACCAGATCCAAAATGGTGCCGACTCAGCAGGCTGTGGTCCCAGCAAGGGGACGTTCTTCCCACCCGGTCCCTGGCCCTCCTTTGGCCATGCTTCCCTCATCATGGCACATGCCCGTCAGTCCTCCTCTACAGACTAGTGTTCTCAGCTGGGGTGGTGCTGCCCCTCGGAACACTTGGCAATGTCCGGAGACGGTTTTAAGCTGTCATACCGGAGGAGGGAGTGCTGCTGGCATCCGGTGGGTGGAGAAGAGATGCTGTTCAGAGCCTTACAGTGCACAGAACGTCTCCAAGAGAAAGAATGATCCAGCCCCAAAGGCAATGGTGTCAAGGCTGAGAAACCCCACACAAAGGGCTCCCCAAAGGCTGGAGCACCCTTATTTTTCTTCCTCAGCACCTCAGAGCTATTCTCTCCTCGTCTGTAGTTGACAGGATTCATGAAAAATGAAAAGAATAAAGCTGTACTTCAAAACAGCAAGACTATAAAAACCAATTTCTAAAAAGTCACCAGGGCACTGGTGTATAGGGAGCACTGTAAAGATCTCCAGCTATTCTAGCTTCTCAAAGGACTCCAGGGAGCCAGGAAGCCATGTCATTTGTGCCTGGCATTGAGGACTACCAACAAAGGAGGCTAACAGCCCTGCTGGTCCTCAGTGTTGACTGAAGCTGTGTGGGCTGCTATGTTCCAGAGGCACCTCTCCAGCTGAGGAGCAGGCCCTGGATGTGGCTTCTTCCCCCTGAAACCAGACTCTAAAGCCCTTTAAGTGGCTGTTAACTAAATTCTCTCCTGCCTTTCTTCAAGTTAATGAACCTTCCTCTCCTGAGGGAGCCAGGGGGAGACAAGACTGATCTGGGCTGTTTTCTCTACAAGAGCCCTCCCTGGAGTGTGGAACAGCAGGGCCCCGCGGCGATTTGGGCAGGGCCACCGCTGGGCAGTTCACGTGGAGATCCAGCCCCAGAGCAGAGGGACTCCCCCAGGCAGGGACTGAGAAAGGCCGTGTCTGCAGAGTGAGCACGATTCAGAACGTCCATCCTGCTCTTTCTCAGCAAATGATGGTAATGACACCCTGAGTTTATAGGGCACTTCAGACTCACAAAGTGCTCTGTGCACACTACTGCCAGTGAGCTTGGTTTCCTCCCCCAGCTGTGACTATTTCAAAGGTCAATCCTGCCAAGGCTGTTCCTGTCTGGAGGCATAAGTCCCACATCTGGATCCTGCGGCTCCATTTGAAAATGTGAAATGGAAGCTCTTTGGGATTCAGCGGCCACAGGCTTCCAAGTCCTTTATAAAACTGAGATGTGCTCCTCAGCTTTAATACGACAACACACTGAAGGTGGAACTTATGTAGGCCTCTCACTGTTCTCCTTTCAAATCAGACTCCCTCCTTTAATAGGACACCCCTTCATCAGAGGAGAAACCTGCAAAATGCGTTCCTACAGTAGATTTTTACCTTCCCCATTAGAACCCCCGGGACAGCGATGGAGGAGGTTGTAAGAGCAGGTTCACTTAGACCAGTATACTCATCAGGGGCAATTTTACTCTCAGGAGACACTTGGCAATGTCTCATGACATTTCTGACCGTCCCCACTGGGTGAGGACCTAGTGGGTAGAGTCAGGGACACTACTAAACATCCCTCACTGCTCTGGGCACCCCCACCTCCGCCACCTGCAGCTAAACATTATACCTTATGTGGCAACAGGGCTGAGGTGGGGAAAACAATAATGACTTTACAAAAGTAAGGCTCAAACAGGCTTTTGGATTCCAGATAAAGGAGACAGCAAGCTATCCCCGAGAGAAGAGACCAAAGCCACAAGCCTGAGCTGAGCCAATGACTCTGCTGGTAATTATAAAAATGGCCATTAACACCCACATCCCAACTGCTTCTTTTTGTGGGTGGCACCCAGGGTGATCAGAGTGACCACATGCCCAAGGACAAGCATGACCTGCCTGATGCCCTCACAGGGAAGGCCTCAGGGCAAGAGTTCGGACATGAGGATGCGGTTATTATGACAGTATAAGAGAATGCCTCCCAGACATTCACAAGCACAGCCCCTCCAAACAGATCAATCTGGGAAGCAGAGGCTGCCTGTATAGGTGTTTCGATCTATTTTGATTTGTGCTAGGATTAGCATGTCCAGAAAAAGACTGATGGTCACTGGTTTTCCGGCAATACAACACACAAGATGTACTGTCCGACCTGAGTCCCGGAGAACCAGTGAAGGCTGTGTTAAGGCCAAGATCACTCAACCCACTGCAGCAGCGTACCTGGCTGGACAGAGGCGACTGTATGTTTAACTTGCCATTCTTGGGAATGTCGATTCTGTACCCAAGGGGAAGGAAAGCGTTGAATCCAACAATGAGGTCAGGGTGTTCGTGGAAGAGCTGTGAGACTCGGCGGATGACTCCCGGAGTATCGATGCTGGAATAAAGATCATGAGTGGGCAAAGGCGTCTCGGGAAACAAAAGTAAAATCTATTCTAGACTCCCATGACAGTGCCATGTAACCAGCTTCTCGCTGACCACAAAGCACCCAAAAATGTGACTGGGGTGAATCTGCTGACGGTGATCTACTTCCAGAGCAGCCAGGCCTGGGCTCCCCGTGCCCCTGGAGAGAACCACAGAACAGTCCCACAGCACAGCTCCCCAAAACACTCCAAGCGCCTGTAACTCAGTGCTAAGAATGGCAGGAGAGTGACTGTGAGTCCTGGACTTCAAGCCCCCTAAATGATGAGATAAATTCCCTTATTTTAAATGAATTGGGGATCAACTATGACATAGCAGCTGATCCCAGCAACTGATTACAATGCATAAATACCAATGGCCCTACACATATGGGAATCGCTTAAGTATTTGAGGGGCGGGATGGGGTCTCCCCCCGTGGCTGCAGCTAGGGTCAAGGCCTTGGTGGAAGAAACCAGGCCCTGCATGTGTCCTCAGAGGGAGAAGCAGCATGGCAGGTATGTGATCATCGAGAACCTAAGACTCCGAGGACCCAAGTTCTAGTCCTGACACTGTCCCCGAACCTCCGTGGGCCTCCTGTCACACAAGGGGATGGCTGTGAGGTCCCCCACGGACCTCTAACCCTCCAGATTCTGTGCCTACAAACACGTAATGTGTTTGAAATGCCTTCCGAAATGCCAGGTCCCCTACTGAGCATTTTATGTGCATAAGTTCCTTGAAGGCCTGGGACTGGGGTGATGTGACTGAGACAACTCCCCTTGGGGACAAGATTTAAGGGGGAGAGGGTGCCCAAACAGTCAGTAATCAAGACAAGTAACATTTGAATGCAGTGCTTTAGAATTATTTTTTTTAAAGTCCTGGATGAACAAAATTCATTTTTTAAAAAAATCAACCTTCTGCAGAAAGGCTCTTGGCTGGTCGGACTCGCCTCTCTCTCCTCACCCCCATACCTGCCCTCCTTCCAGGAACCCCCATAGCAGCTCCACAAAGGAAGACTCTACTCTCTCGTTTGTTTTTTGTTTTTTGGTTTTTTTTGCAGAAACTGAGGCTTCCAGAGGTTCGGCAACCTGTGCAAGGTCACGCAGCTGGGGCAGGGCCACTGGCTCAGCCAGCCGACGGCGCCCCCCGGGGCGGGGAGGGGCCCGCAGGTACCTTTGGCTTTTGAACTCCTTCATGATTTCCAGGAAGCCGTTGTACGTGGCAGGGTCGCTGCCGAAGCGGATCTTCACCTGGTCCAGGTAGGTGAGGGCGTCCTCCACCTGCGAGGAAGGGGAAGGGGTGGGGGAGGATCCCCATGGGCCCGGGTCGGTGCAGGGAACTGGGGACGCAAGTCTCTGGCGGGGAGGGGGACGGGCCGGCCTCCGAGGGGGCCCAGGGGAGGGGTCAGGGGTCTGGGGTCCCGGGCCGCGCGGAGGAGGGGCCGAGGTGGGGCCGGGCGGGGCCCAGGTTGGGGGCGCGGGGCCGGCCGACGGGGTTCCCGAGGGAGCGCTAGGGCGCCACTCACGTGCACCGGCAGCTTCTCGTGGCCCGCGGAGCCCGAGCGACCCCAGCGGGCGCCACTCAGCCCCCGGCCCCCGGGGCCGCCGCCGCCGCCAGCGTGCGCCATGTTGGAAGTCAGAGCCGCGGTCCGCCCCGCCCCCGCCCGCGGCAGGACGCGCATGCGCAGCCCCGCCCCGCGCCGCCCTGGGGGGCGGGGCCTGGGTGCCAGGGTGGGCGGGGCCTCGCTGTGTCAGCTCTTAGCCCTGAAACCTAAGTGCTAAGCAGCCCTGCCACCTGTTTTTGCCCGGCTTCACAAGCAGGTTCAGAATGATTTTTACATCTTGTAAAAGTTGGAAAAAGTCCAGAAGAGAAGACTGTTTCGTGACACGTGAAAACCCTGAAATTCATATCGCAATGTCTGTGGTTTGATTGGAACACATGCGCGCCCCCTCTTGGCCCATCATCTCTGGCTGCTTTTGTGCCGCAGCAGTAGGATGAGTGGGTGAGACAGATCCTGAGGTTTGCGGAACCTGATATGTTTACTAAAAAAATGTTGGTGGACCCCTGCTTTCTAGGGTTGCTGTAACACTGTGACACGGCAGCCTAACACAGGGCCCTAGGCGGTGAATTTTTGCTAAGTGGCTTTTGCCATAGTTCCTCTCCTCCTATCTTCATTTCCCTAGTCTTAACTCCATCACTTCCCCACTGGGCCAGTTCAGGAGCCACTTAACCAGTTTTCCCAGTCCTGGTGCTATCAAGAACTGGGATAATTTTACAGCTGCTTCCAAACTTTCAAAGTCTTCCTATTGTGTGTGTGTGTTGAATTCTAAGCGTTTGCACCCAGCATTGAAGGCCATCAGAACCTGGCCCTTACAAACCATTTCCTGAAGAATTTTTCATCCACACTCCATGTGTGCAGAACCTCCTGCTAATGCCTGCCTGCTTCCTGGCCCCATGCATTGGTACATACCATCTCCCTTGCCAGAAGCTGTGTTCGATCTCTTCATTACCCAGAGAACACCTATGCATCCTTCAAAATACCATCGAACTGACCCCTTCTCTGCCCTCCCATAGTCCCTTATAGACATCATCTTTTCATGCTTCATCATAAATTCCTGACACAGAGCCCCCTCCGTGAGCATTTATCAAATGAATGAGCATACAATCAAGGACCAAATGACATCTGTTTTTATACGTGAAGAGGTGTGGGAAAGCTGAGAATACATTGGTAATGAGTGTAGGTGTCAGGAATAGAAAAGTGAACAAAACTGACAAGGCTTTTGCCCTCCTCGAACTTTTAATCTTTCAAGGATAGGAATCAAATAAACACACACACACGTAAAATTTCAACTATAACAGATACTTTAAAGAGAAGGTACAAATATAACTTACTATATTCCAGTTACTGTGGCTGTGTAACAAGCCACCCCATTTCTTTTTTTAAAATATTTTTGTTGATTTCAGGGAGGAAAGGAGAGGAAGAGAGAGAAGCATAAATGATGATAGGGACTCATTGATTGGCTGCCTCCTGCACACCCCCTACTGGGGATCGAGCCCACAACCGGGCATGTGCCTTGACTGGAATCAAACCTGGGACCCTTCAGTCCTAATGCTCTATGCACTGAGCCAAACCGGCTAGGGCAAGCCACCCCATTTCTTGAAGAGTTAGAGATGTAGAATTACAACATTTATTTTGTTCTCCAATAATTGCAATTTGGGCAGGTTTGGTGTCAGGTGGGTAGCTGGAAGGCTGGAGCTGGAATCCTCTGAAGGTTTACTCACTCACCTGTCAGTTGCTGCTAGCTGTCCTCTGGGGCTGCTGCAAGGAGCACCTGCATGTGGCCTCTCCATGCAGCGAGCTCCCCCACATGGCAGCTGGGTTCCCAGCACAATCGTACTGAGGAGAGGAGCGACTGAGCCAGGTGGAAGCCGTATACAGTATCTCCTTTTCTGATCTAGTCTTTCCAGTCACACGGGAGCATTTCCATTGCAGTCTCTCCATAGTGGCTATGACAAAGTCCCTCCCAAATGCAAGTTAAGGACAAACAGATTCTAGAAGCCGGGGAGTGGCCAGGGTCTGGAACAGCATGGGGGACAGGAAATCTTGCCGTTTGGGGAAAATATCCCTGCCACCGCAGGGACTTAACCCAGGCTAGAAAGGGATGAAGAAGGCTTCCCAGAGGAAGTGGCATGCTAGCTGAGTCCTGAAGATGTAGGCGTTCACCATGAAGGTCAGGGGGAACAGCTGTGCAAAGCCCTGAGGTGGGAAGAAGTGCGGCACATTTGAACTAAAAAAGGAAAAAGACCGATGTTTTGGGACTGCAAGGTAAGTGTGGAGAGGCCAGAGGGGGGCAGACCACGTAACCTGATGGGGTGAGTTAAGAATTTTGGTCTTGGCATGTCACACTGGTAGAAATTGTGCGTGGATTTTATGCAGAGAGGTGTTTGAGCAGCGTTGAATTTGGAAGCAAAGGACTCTGGCTGCTCTGCTGGGAAGTGATTGGAGGGGATTCGAGGGTGAATGCAAAGAGGCTGTTTCATCCTTTAGCCAGGGGTGGGGAACAGCAGGCCTGAGGGCCCTATAAGGCCCGTGAAATCATTTGGTCTGGCCCAGCCAAGGCATGAGGGGTAAATTAATTAAATGTTTGACCACATATAGCAGGCCGATTTTTAAGTTGATGATTTTGTCTGGCCTGAGAATGATGTTAAAAATATCCAAATGTGCCCTGGCTGGCTTGGCTCAGTGGCTAGAGCGTCAGCCTGCAGACTGAAGGGTCCCAGGTTCGATTCAGGCCAAGGGCGCATGCCTGGGTTGTGGACTCGATCCCCAGTAGCGGGTGTGCAGGAGGCAGCCGATCAATGATTCTCTCTCATCATTGATGTTTCTATCTCTCTCTCCTTCGCTCTTCCTCTCTGAAAACAATAAAGAAATACATTTAAAAAAAATATCCAAATGCCCCTGGGCAGAAAAAAAGGTTCCCCACCCCTGCCTCAGGCAAAGGACGATGGTGGCTTAGACCAGAATGGGAGCAGTGAAGGTGGAGAGGAGGGGGTGGAAGGGAGCGCTATGTAGAAGGTAAAACACAGAGGATATGGTGCTGGGTGGAAGTCGGGCTGAGGGCGAAGGAAGCAGCCCATGGCTCCCAGCCCAGAAAGGAATTCCTCACGGTTTCAGCACATTCCTGTAGGAATAGCAGCTAAGGTGGACTGGGCCACCAGATGCCCCGATAGTCCTTTTCACACCAATGCCACCTGGCAATCTATTACCAAGTCACTGTCCTGGAGAACCAACGGCGTGTGTAAGCTTCTGACGTGCTGGCAGAGTCCTCACACAATACTCCCTGCCTCCAAGGATTGCGATCCTATTCAAATTTTAAGGATCTCTTTTCGTTTTCCATTCTTTTCATAGCTCGCATATGGTCAGAGGAAGCTCTCACTCATTTGGAGAATAGGCTGTCACAGGCCAATTCCACCTTAGGGGTGTGTGTGTGTGTGTGTGTGTGTGTGTGTGTGTGTGTGTGTGTTGGTGCACGCATACATCCTTCAGAACTCAGCTAGAATGCCACCTCCTCCAAGAAGCCTTCCTCAACCCCCACTAGATTAGGTTAAGTGCCCTGGGTAGCAGGAGGTATTTTCCCATAATGATCACAACAATATTTCCTGCCCCCCATGCTATTCCTGAACCTGCATGTGTATGTGCATGTGTCAACATGTGGACGATGGTACACATACATCTTGTCATTCTTATTTTTAGAAAGCATAACAAGTTTCCAAACTAAATATTTTTCTTTACCATTTTCATCTACACAGATTAAGTTGAAAACCTTAGAGTTGACAGTTTAGATCAGGGGTCCTCAAACTACGGCCCGCGGGCCACATGCAAATACAAATATTGTATTTGTTCCCGTTTTGTTTTTTTTACTTCAAAATAAGATATGTGCAGTGTGCATAGGAATTTGTTCATAGTTGTTTTTTTAAACTATAGTCCTGCCCTCCAACAGTCTGAGGGACAGTGAACTGGCCCCCTGTTTAAAAAGTTTGAGGACCCCTGGTTTAGATAGACCAGCTTTGGAACACAAATTTAACATTAAGGTAAGATTCTTAAGTAGGTCTTTTCTTAGACAGTATTTTGGCGAGGTTAAGAAGACAAGATCAACCCTAGCTGGTTTGGCTCAGTGAATAGAGCGTCAGCCTGGGAACTAAAGGGTCCGGGTTTGATTCTGGTCAAAGGCACATGCCCAGGTTGCAGGCTCAAACCCCAGTGTGAGGTGTGCAGGAGGCAGCCGATCAATGATTCTCTCTTATCATTGATGTTTCTATCTCTCTCTCCCTCTCCCTTCCTCTCTGAAATCAATAAAAATATATATTTTTTTAAAAAGACAAGATCAAAAGGTCCTGTGTTAATCTAAGTCTTCCCAGGTGGCAGACTTTATGACCCAAATCTCTCAAGTCCAGAATCACGTGTTGTGGCAGAATTCCAAGATGGACACCGGGATTGTCAGCCCTGCTGTGCGCACCCTGGTACCTGTGAATCCCCCATCCTGGAGGGTGAGTGGAACTGGGAGGACAATGCATGCCACTCCTGAGATTAGGCTGTGCCACCATGGCAAAGGCGAAGGGATTTTGCAGGTGTATTTACAGTCTCAAATGAGTTGATGGGGAGTTCATCAGAAGGGAGATTATGTTGGGTGGGCCCGACCTAATCAGGGGCACCCTTTAAAAGACAGTCTAGAGCAGCCGTGGGCAAACTACGGCCCGCGGGCCGGATCCGGCCCGTTTGAAATGAATAAAACTGAAAAAAAAAAAAAAAAAAAAAAAGACCGTACCCTTTTATGTAATGATGTTTACTTTGAATTTATATTAGTTCACACAAACACTCCATCCATGCTTTTGTTCCGGCCCTCCGGTCCAGTTTAAGAACCCATTGTGGCCCTCGAGTCAAAAAGTTTGCCCACCCCTGGTCTAGAGGCAGCAAGCCAGTGCGTCCCTGCTGGCCTTGAAGGAGAAACCAGCCTGTGAACCGCCTAGGGAGAGGGACAGCCTCTAGGAGCTGAGGTCCCAGGCCCAGAGCTACAAGGAGCGCAATGCTGCCAACAGACTGAATGAGTGTAGAAGAGGGCTCTAGGCTTCTCCATGAGCTCCCACAGAGAACCCAAC